TTGATCTGAAATACTTTTTTTCTAGCATTAAATTAATTTTTAAAGCATTTTGTTCAAAATACTATCTTTTTCCCCTTTTCTGTATTCCCTCCAACTCTTCTTATGTACACACCTCTAATTTCTCTCATGTTCCTCCCTTGAAATCTCAAATTCATGCCATCTTTCTCTATGATTATTATTGTTTTACACACACACACATATATTTAAATATATAAATACAATTTATTGAGTCTGTTTAATGTTGCTTATATGTAGAATTCTTAAAAACATAACTTTAAAACTTGAGTATGTTACCTTAGGGACTTAATAAGATCTTATAAATTTATTTACACACATAGAAAAATTGCCATATTTGGAACAACAATAACAGACATTTATCAAGATAGTCATGTTTTAAGTTGTACTCCTATCTTATGTCCTTCATGTGGAGGCAACATACAGATAGGGCTTTCATTGTCCTCCCCATAAGCTTTGATCAACTTCTTTTTCTCAGAAATTGTCAAAATGTATTTTGATGTTTTTCTTTTAAATTGTCCATCTAAAACCATTATGTACCATGCAAATATTATTAGTAGAGCAACCAACAAATCCTCCTCTCTTCCTTTATAGTGCATATTAAATGGTTGAAAAGCATAAATTCAACATTATAATAAACTTTATTTAGAGTTGACATGTCTCTGGAAAATGACTTTGTATCTTACAAACTGAAAATTTATCTGAGTAGATAGAATGAAATACTTTGATATTATATTCCAAGGAATTATGCAATTTATTCATAAATTAACCTTGCAACTTAAAATAACAATCAATAATTTCTAAGCATTTCAAAACGTTGCCCCATTAAGATAGAAAAGCAAAGCAAATTAAATGTTAAATGGGAAAAAGTACGATGTGGAAGTTTGATATTTATATTTAGTTAGTAGCATTGCCATACTGGGTAGGCAGCAAAATATCTGGATACTATTTTAAATGAAAATCATTTGAATATATTACATCATCATGTTACAAAACTAGGTTGCAGAGTCTTGGGTACCAATGAACACTTTATTGATGACAAACAACTCTAGTTAGCCAAAGAAAATAGCCATTCTTCATTCATCAAATCAAAATTACATCATCTCGCCTACCAAATCTACATGTCCCTTACTAGGGGTATGTTATTTTATCATGACTGGCAACAGACTATAGTAACTACCAAAAAAAGTCAGGCAGTGAGTTATCTCTGTATTTTCAACATATGAACTATAAAAGTAAAAAAAAGATTATAAAAAAAAATGTGAAGCTGTTTGGAACATTTTGAGACTAGAAACTGAAATTGTGGCAGAATATGCTGGTTTACAAACTATACAGCATGTCTGTAACAGAACTCTTTAGATAGTGTGGACAGATAAGTAATGCCTTTCTTAAGCACTTACTTACGATGTGCCATTCTCAGCCTTTGTAGGAGTTAACAGCTGTGTGCATGGAAACACAACCCCAGAGTTCAGAGAAGGAGTGCAGCAATGATTTGTATATCCAATCAGGACTTTGTGAGGTCACACATTGGATTTTTACCAAAGGGTCTTGTATTTATTGAGTATTCTGAGAGTTTTGAGAAGAGAAAGCAGTTTCAATATGGCTTCGTGAAGGAAAATAATAAAATAAACCAACAACAAATATTTGAATCCCTAATTCTGTTGTGTTTTGTTTTACCCCCATCTTTCTGGCTATTACGACTTTACCAGTTGCTTCTTTTACGTGTGTCCATTAGATGTTGGTGTTCCTTATGCCCGTCAAACTTTCTTCTTGCTACTTTCTTCCTAAATAATATGATCTAGGTCTACAGCTTCCATTGCCATCTTTGCATTAATGACATCTAAATGTGATATTCAGGTCTGAGTCTTCTCAGATCCCTGGATACAACTCCTCTACTTATGTGTCTTCAAGGTATCAGAAGGGAATGTCTCCAAGGCAATATATGTTGTTTTTTCTTAATCCTAACAATTTCTAGCCTAAAAAAAAAACCCAAAACAAAAAACAAAACAACCCCCCCCAAAAAAAAAAAACAAACCTGAATTGCCATCTAACTCAAGTTCAAACCCCACAGGGTTTTTATTATTATCTCTAGATAATTCATGCCACAGATCCAACATATTGTCATATGCTTCCTGCTTTGCTTCCTAATATAGTATTTTTAATCTACTACCCCAGTATTAGTATACTATAAGGCCCTTAGAGTGTTACCCTGTCTAAACTGACACTTCCCTACCTCAATAATTTGCTATTCTCCGTACTGAAATCAAAGTAAGTCTGTGTTTCTCAGAACCTATTCCTAAGTATAAAAATAAACAATCTGAAAATAGAAACAATATTGTCATAATTTTATAGGCCTGTGAAAGGAAATTTGGGTAGAGCAAAAGGATTAATGTTACTAAGGGTTCATGGAAATAGAGTATGGATGATCAGACAGGGCACTTTAATAAAATAAGCTGTTCTGTGTATTGTACAGTGGTGGTACATGTCATAAATTGTCAGAACCTATAGATTATAACAAAGGTGCACAAGTGTGTAGACTATGGAATCAAGTAATGGTAATTTCCAATGTTAGTTTTTTATTTATAACAAATATGCCACTTTGGTACAGGTGAGTCAGGAAGGCTGTGTATGCATGAGAGCGTGATCTATGTGGGAATTTTCTACTTTCTGCTTAACTTATTGTAATCCTATGCCTACTCTAAATATATGCCTTAAAATTTCACTCTGACTTTGCATTTCTTCTTCCTGAAATTGCTGCACTTTTTTTTCAGCGCAGCTAAAATAAAAATTGAATTAAATCCCCCAAAGAGCTCCCATTCAGGAAGGAGCAGCTTCCATCATTATTTTCTGCTCTGTACTTTCTAGCCTCACTCACTTCTCTCTGATCTGAATTGATCTTGTGTAGTTTTAATGGTATTTTCCCTTGCCCCCTCTTCCTTGCCTGATAAATGTCTATCTGTATCTTCTTATTGACTTATGCTAAGGGAAACTGTCTTTGAGGTCCATATCCTTGGGTGACGTTAGCAGCCTTCAGTGTTACTTGCATTTACATAATCCATTTCCTTGGATACCTTATCCCTTTTATAGATACATGGTAATAAAAATTAAACATTCATGATGACTTATTAATATCTTTCTTCTCTGGTAGACTAAGAGCCATGAAATATTGGTCTTAGAGTTTCTATTGCTGGGATGAAACACCATGACCAAAAGGCAAATTGGAGAGGAAAGAGTTTTTTTGGCTTATACTTCAGCATTGCTGTTCATCACTGAAAAAAGTCAGAACAGCAACTCAAAGATGGCAGGATCCCAGAGGCAGGAGCTGATGCAGCAAGCTGCTTACTGGCTTGCTTCCCATGGTTTGCTCAGCCTGCTTTGTTATAGAACCCAAGACCATCAGTCCAGGGAGGGATGGGACCACCAGCCCAGGGAGGGATGGCGCCACCCACTATGGGTTGGGATCTACCCCACTGATGACTAAATGAGAAAATGCCTTACAGCTGGATCTCAAGGAGGCATTTCCTCAGCTGAGGATCCTCCTTCTGATGACTCTATGACTTATAGGTCAAGTTGACACACAAAACCACCCAGTACCACTGACTCCTTGTTAACTTGACACTAAAATACATCACTATTGAGCCATAACCATTCCTTTATTTTTCATCCCCAAGATCTTAAATAACTTTAAAGGTCCTATAGTCTTTATAAATTCAAACACATTAAAATTTCAGTTCCTTTAAAATAGCCAATCTGTTTTTATTTAAAAGCTTTTTCTTTTAAATTTTACATATCAAACACAGTTCCCTCTCCCTCCCCTCCTCTCGCTCGCCCCACTCACTTCCCCCCAACTCCAGCCCCCATCTACTCCTCAGAAAAGGCAAGGCCTCCCATGGGGACTCAACAAAGTCTAGCATATCAAGTTGAGGCAGGACTAAGCCCCTGTCCCTGTATCAAGGCTGAGCAAGGTATCCCTCCACAGGAAATGAGATCCAAAAAGGCAGTTCATGCACTAGGCATAAATCCTGATCCCACTGCCAGGGGCCCCATAAACTGCCCAAGCTACACAACTTTCACCCACAGAAAACGACCCAGTACAATACTCTATGCATTTTTGCTCTTCCCTGAGCCTGTTACAGTAGCCTGTAGTTTAGAAAGCATCCAGTATTTGTGGAATGAATGAATAGAAGGCAGAAAGCTCTGGAGAATGAGCTTTGTATCAAGATTATTGACTATTCTCTCTTATACATTTGGAACTACTCAAATATACATCAGTCTCAGAGGAGGCCCTTTGCACAAATATTTTTGTAAGTCCCACCTAAGCAGATAATTTAACCATAGGCACCTATATTTCCTGTGGTTAATAAGACTGTGATCCTAGAGAGATAATTATATTGTTCTGTATGGCCTACAGACTTAGGGTGAGCACAATAGAAATTATTCCCTATAGTGGTGATAGCCTGATACCAGGGATTCTGTTCATGGCAAATCTCCCCTAAATGCTGGAATAGCCTCCGGAGGTGGAAGGATCTACCCACTGAATAGAATGTTCCATTATTCCTCAAAAATAAATTCACTTCTTCGTCTTGGGGCATCCTTGGATCCCCCTGAAAGGTACACTTATTAAGTAGACAGCTCTGATATCCAGTCAAATACCCCAAAGGCTTCCTGTTAGAGAAGGCCTATGTGCTCTGTTTACATATGGTACACACAACACATTTTCTTTGACTTCATTAATAAGCAATTAAGATGAAGAAACAATCTCTTTACTTTCCAGGTAAGCCAAGCAATTTATCTTTGTTACTGTCAGCCCTCAGTAACTACCATGTGGATCCTAACTGCTTGCCTCAGATGAAATGATGTGACCCTGCAGGAAATTCCAGGAAAGCAGCTTTGGATTTCATGATTCTCCTTTTTTATATATTAAGATGATATGCATCTACATTCTAATAATATATATTCTAAAGACATGGTTTTTCTTATTACAGTCAGTCCTTTCCCATGGCACTGTGGCTGACTGTGCTGTGGTTGGCAAGGAAGACCCTTTGAAAGGTCACGTTCCCTTAGCACTCTGCGTGTTGAAAAAAGGTGAGCCAGCTTTATCTTCCCTGACCATTTGGGTCGGAATGATTGGCATTAATTTGGCACTTACCAGCTCATTTTTCCCCTAGATATAAATGCAACAGAAGAACAAGTTTTGGAAGAAATTGTGAAGCATGTTAGGCAGAGCATTGGCCCCGTGGCTGCTTTTCGAAATGCAGTTTTTGTCAAACAGTTACCCAAAACGAGGTCTGGCAAAATTCCACGGTCTACACTGTCTGCCTTGGTCAATGGCAAGCCATATAAGGTAAGTAATTCAGAATCTATAATGCTGAATCCTGAAATGATTTTGACCATGTGTTTGGCATAAGCAAATTTCTGTTAATTGAAGGTTTTCAATCATGAATTCTATCCCATGAATTTTATCTTCATTCTCTGTAAGAATGAGAGTTTGAGAAAGAAATATTGATTAAAGTCATGTGCTTTGCTTATAGGAACTGATGTGTGAGCTTTGCTTTTAGCAATTTTATGAATTTCAAACAGACTTTCAGAAATTCATTCCTTTGAACTAAATGCATATATTGCTTCACTATAATCACTAATGACCATCCATGAGGAGAAATTGAAGTATTTGAGAAGTCTAAAATGCTTTAATACATCAGTGCTAATTATTTCTACTATTAAGAGAGACAAATGTCTTAGGAAACTTTAGACTGATTCAAGTACATACATGTTTCAATGTCCATATGTTATTATATTTCATTATATATGCTTTATAATTCCATCAAAGAATGTAATACAATATTAAAAATCACTTGTCTGACTCAATTTCAGAATAAATAAAACAAAAATTCTAGAGACTATGTGGAAATACCAACAATTTTGCTAAACATACTATTTCCTTTACTATTACAAAAGATAAATTTTTAAGTATTGGGCCTGAAGATTCCTACTTTACATATTTTTGTCTGTGTTTTATGAAATAATGGGGATAGGCATCGTGTGGCCTGCAACCCTCGAATTTGGGAAGTAAAGTCAGGGAAATCAGGAACTCAAGACTCAACTCTGCTTTGTAAGGTATTTGAAGCCAACCTATGTTACACAAGACCCCATCTCAAGAAAAAAAAAAAAAAAAAGAAAACACAACACAAAAAGATGAGTGCTAAAACAAAGGATGTCACTGTTTGTTGTACAAAAAGTCCTAGAGAAGTTCAAGGGAAGATGACCATTTGACATTGTCCATTTCTTTTCAGGTGACTCCTACTATCGAGGACCCCAGCATTTTTGGTCACATAGAAGAAGTGCTGAGACAGACCTTGTGATTTTTTATTTACTATCTCCAGTCAGTCTGTCTTAATTTTCTAGCTGGATGTAAGTTGTTTGTTTTCTATAAAGAAGCAGCTGAAAAGAAATCCTTCTCAACTTGAATGTGAGCCTTAGGGTTAAATCAGTCTAGCAGCCCGTGAAAGAGGCTATATTTTGTGTTACATTATGTGAACCAGTTCGCATTGTTACCTCTTTCCTGCAACATGGATCATTTTATTCTATCTTGCATAATAACAAACATGTCTTTGGCGTATGATTTTATAGATTCCTGTGCCTTACAAACACATTTTAATTGGAAGTATGTGTAATATAAACACACTTCCAGGAGATAAGAATCAGCCACAGTTTGATCAAAATCTAAACTCAAAGTCAGAATATCATTTAAAACATTATTATGGAAACTCAGATGTTGTTTAATGTTTTTTTTAAGATGACTACCATGTTTTTAGGTAATCATTTAGACAGAATAGGTTGCTTAGCAAAACAGGGCCCCTGGTTGGAGTACCATTTCTATGTTGTCTGTTACTGGGTAAGGGGAGGCTTGTGTCTGGCAGAGAAACTAGAGAACTTACCATCAAATCTTTTGTGGGGATGAAGGCTCCTCGAATCCCCTTGCCATAGCTGATTGTGTGCATCTTGATGCTTTCATCTTCCAATGGCATGAGGGAAATGACACACGAATTGAATGGAGTGACAAAAAGGATGATATACAGAGAAATTTGGAAGTTTTCATCTTATTCTAAAAATCAAGAGACTTTCTGGGCAATATCAACGAGTCCCCCATTCTCTTTTATTTATTTATATTATTTTTTATTTTTATTCTCCCTATATTTTTTGACCAGGTCACATGTTTCCTAGGTTGGCCTCACATTTGCTATGTCAGTGTGGCTGACTTTGAAATCCTGGTCTTCTTGTCTCTAACTCCTGGTTGCTGGGGTTAGAGGCATGTACTACCATACTTAGCTCCACACTAGCTTTTTTTTTTTTCTCTTATTGGATTGAACCCAGAGCCTTGTGCATGTTAGGCAAGCACTCTTCCACTGAGCTTTACTCCAGGAGATCAATGAATTTATGGTGGATCCTTGAGCCACATGAACTAACAAGTGATTTTAAGAACAATAGAGAGCCTTAAGTACTGGCAATCATGTGTTCCATCAAGGGGGCAACCATAGCAGGCCCCAGAGAAATATGGCTCAGGAGAGAGGCTGGACTACATTTCAAGAGCCTCTGGGTTTCAAGAGAACCCCAAATATCTACTTTTATTACAAGTTTTAACTTTAAATCATGTTAATTCATTTAAATATTATACTCTAACATACAGTTCCATCTGTGTTTCTATAAAATGATTGAGCCTTTTCAAAAAATTGAAAATGAGCCTTTAATAAGGTTATAGAAATATATCCATTTGCTAGAATAGAAAGACATAGTCAACTAGCTTAGAGCTCGACATGTATTATTCATCAGAGCATATATTTAAACCCAAAATGTATACTGTGTTCATTGAATCATTGAGAGTTCTCAGAATAATTTCTCAATTCTTCAGTTTTTGAGAAACACTATGAAGAGCACAATGTGCTATTAGAATCAAATTACACAAAATACAGGTGAAAAGTAACAAACAGATTAATTTACTTGTCATAAAAATTATGTGTATCTTATATAAAAGCTATCTTTTTAGGCCTCTTTGGACTGCTGCTTAGATAATAAATGGCTTTTCAAAGGAAACATTTATTGATTAAGCTACCTTCTTCATTGATATATCTGAAGATAATAACTTTATCATCTCTAATTATTTTGGTTGCCTGAATTAAACCAACTGGATAGATATTTTATAACTGGAAGCTGTTGAGTTCCTTAAATTTTTCATTGTATGTGTAAATTGTGTACATTATCAAAACTGTAGGGGTTACAAATCAACAGTTTTTAATGTCAGCATTACAATACCGTTCATTATTTTTCCCCACATGAGTCAGATATTTTAACTGAATTCAGCATTTTTTGTTTGCAAGTTATAAACTCAGGCAGATCTAAGGATTGAGCAAAGATTTCATGTTTGGACCGTTTGTAGATATTCCTCTTTATCAGATCTGAAGGGACACCTCAGCAAACAGGACTGGATTATTTTCCATTTGTGGGAATCTTGAAAAAACAAAACAAAACAAACAAAAAACCAAAACCAAAACCAAGTGTATCACACTTCAGAAGGAGTTGTTTCTTATGTTTCAGTGAGGAAATTCATGTCCACTATAGACCAGAGACAGGGATCACATTCATGTGGCTAAAATGGAGGAATGAAATATATAACTTAGTCATCAGACTGCTTAAAATTTGGGGAGAAAAATTAAATAACTTCCTATTTTAAATCTCAACATCTTTTTTTTTTTTGCCAAATTGCATCCAAAGTATTTTGAACTGAATGTGTCATTAATAGCAATAATACAATCTAAGAAATGTGACCTTACTTAAATTTATGTAAATGGATTCTGTGTGATCTTGTATTTTATGAAATTTTTAAATTTGTAAGACATTTGAGAAATGAAAATAAAAGCACTTTTAATACTTAAAGAGTGTGCCAATTTATTTTCCCCATAAAAATACACTAAATAGATATAAATGAAACTGTTTTACACATCCAAAGGTAGGTTTATTTATATAAAATTGTATTTGAAAGGGTTTGATTCTAATGTTGGTGGTCAAAAGGAAAACAAAAAACAAACAAAACAAAACAAAACAACAACAAAAAACCCCACCCTGAAATACAAGCTCAATCCATGAAACTGATTTTCAAATCTGACTACAGTTTTCTATACATTAAAGCATATTTTGCATTTTCTTGAGGAGAGTAGTTGGATACTTTGTATCACCCTGTAGGACCCAGTACATATCACCAGTAATTTTTTAAATGTAATTTCCAAAAACAAGAAACTGACTTTGATGACTGAGTGAGTGGTTGTTAGAGTTGGATATGGAATGTCCCCCAAACTTTGTGTGCTGAGTGCCTGGTAAGGACGAGGATGATGGGGAATGCTTACCTCACTGGTGTGTGCCCCTCCCAAGGGGACTCTGTGTCCCCAGCCCCATCATCTTTCTCTATCTTCTGTGGCCATGAGACAAGCAGGTTTCTCCAGTACATACTTCCCGCCATGCCGCTCCACCCCACTTGATTTCCCAAAGCATGCAGACTTGCTGGTTCTTGAGCTGAATCATCCGAAAATATCGGCCAAGATACCTTTTTCTTCTTTATAAATTAATTATCAGAAGTATTTCACTACAACTCTGCAAACCTGATTGTCATACTGGTCTATAAATATAAACACAAATCTTTCTAGCCTATGAGTATCATGGTTTCTCTTGTATTTCATTTAGATGACTTTCTTCTTGTCATTAGCTGCTCTTAGCAAGTCCTTTCACGTTGTTTTCACTCAAGCAACAGTTTTTTTTTTTTTTTTTTTTTCCTTAATGCAAAGCACTTCCATAAGCTAGTTTAGACCTCCCTCTAGTGGCAGCCTCGATTTTGAGTAAAACAGCCTTGGAAATCACTGAATGATTTTCTTTGTAATTCGTGCAGATGGTTGAATATTACGCTACTAGAAAACAAAGCTTAAGCAGAAAACTGGAAGCATTTTTTTTTATTGACAATGGAAAGGTTTTTTTTTACCATTACCTTTTGAATGAATCTGTTCAACAAAAACAGACATCAAAACAAAGGTACGTGCAAATATAACAAATTAAATACAAAAAAAAAAAAAAAAAGAATTTACTAATGACAGGTCTTGCATAATAAGACCAAGCAGCAAGAAAACAGCAGTTAGATCCATGGTATTGTTAAATAGGTTTCACTTTGAAATCTCCCATATAAACAAGGAATAAACAAGAGTGACACCACCAAAGAAAGCCACAAGGAAGAGATTAATTGCTCTTCTCTACTTTTTATACACTATATATGTCAATCATTCTGTCTTTATTTCCTCTGATGAAAATGAATTCAGGGACGTCACAAAAAGGTCATTTCAGCTAAAGGCTTAGACTTGAGTCTGGCTAATGCCCTGTTAACAGTGATCTTAAAAACGGGGGAGGTGGGAGGGAGTTTGCTAAAGGGGTCTGTATTTTTTTTCCTAGTGGAGATGGGCCTCAGACTCTACAGTGGTTGACACTCACTGTCCAGTGCTGAATGAACATGTGGTTCTTAAGAAAGGTGTGTGTGTGTGTGTGTGTGTGTGTGTGTGTGTGTTTCATGATCCACAGGCAACAAGATTAGACAATGGTTTTCTTGATATAAATTTTTAAAATCATTGCATTTGATGCTTGTAAACAGTTTGGCTTTGTTTTCTGTTGAAAAGGAGATTGAGGCATCACAGTGCTTTTTTTACAGAGAGAGGACATCAGATCCCTGATTGCCTTTAAAGGTCTTTTTTTTTGGCTCCAGGTCCAGGTTAAATCATTCTCTCTCTCTCTTCTTTTTTAACTTTTATTTATTTATTTATTTTACATGATCAGAGGCAGGTGCTCAGCTTTCAGGTTTGACAGACTGGAAGGAGCAGCAGGTTGAAGCATGAAACCCGCTTCCAGGAAACGAACGTACTGATTTGACTTACAGTTCAGAAACCGTAAAAATGGTGGAATGGTAAAATACAAACAGGACTTGGAATTGTTCAATGTTTGCACTCGAGACTCCATGAACCATATATTTTATTTTTCTTTAAAAAACTCATATTTATATCCATTTACAGAAGACTTACACATTTAAAAAGAAATGTTACACAGTAATACATAAATGCCTATTATATTACAACATGAAAAAATGAATAGTTCCATCTCATAAAAGCATCAGATGTACAGAGTTTATGACGTGGGTGATGTTCATATTTCAGATGATTTAAGCGTTTTATTACAATCATAGTAAACTAATCAAACTTATTATCTGATTCCCCCCAAAATCACATGTTTAACGTTTGGTAAACCCTTTCTTATATTATTTCCATAGAATTCAGTCTCCGTGAAGGCTTTCTCCGTTTGTCTTCATAGGCAGTAGTACACTTTAGGTCGTGTAGACTGAAAAGATGATGTCTGTAAAAGGAAATGTACACCATGAGTTCACTGGCATCTCCTAGCCAGTGGCTCCCACCCTGTTACTCTAGGGTACACTCCCATGCAGCCTGCACAGGTCAGTTCTAAAACCTCAATGGAAAAAAAATAAAACTGTCTGGGATGTAAGTAATAGTCGATGGTGTGACATTTACTAGTCTCCACTTATTTTATGACAGAAGTGTTAAGTAGGATTTATTCAACTTTGGCAAAAGTATGGCTAAAATTGAAACACAGAATCACACACAATGTCAGAATGCTTTCTGAGTTTTTTATAATTTGTTAATTATTAAATTAGGTTGAATTGACCTATTCCATAGGATAGCTTTATATTCTAGTTCATATATTTTAGAGTTCTTAAAATGATGCTTTTCTTTAATTACGACAGAACACAAAACATATAACATTTTGAAGTTTCTATGTCAGCTGTATGTATTTCACCACAGATGACAGCCATGACGTCACACAGGAAAATCTCACAATTACTCTTACTGACACAATAAGATTAATAAAAGTATGTTTGTACTTTATTGTCCATGACAGTCATTTTAATTTCTCACCAAAATTAAAATAAAGATTGCCTATGATTATCCTGTTCATAAATATTTTTTATTCAATTTAAAAGTTCAAAACTAAGAAATATGAACTAGAATGACATGCAGGGAAAAAAATGCAAATAGTTTATGATAGATTCCACCCATGAGCCTAGAGCTAAGCAGCAAGCACAACTGAATGTATTAGTCATTTATAAGCTGGTGAATTATTAAATTTCTGAGAAAACTATTATGTTATATGTTGAATCTATTATAAACAGTATTGTGGAAAGTCTCTTACTTACCAATATAATTATATATTGTAAGCCATGCTTTATGAGACCAAATAGTATATCACAGTAAAAAATTGTATATTAGAGTAGCTTTTTTGTGAAATTAAATAATGTTTTTTGTTTTCTGTTCCACCAGTTAGTGACCCAGGCAAGGTAAGATGTCAGCTCCTATATTAGTCTCCAAAGACAACAATATGTTGTGCAGAGATCCTGATCTAAGACAATAAGCAGCAAGAGGCAAATTGCTGCACTATCTTTCTGCATCCTTATCCTACCCCTCGGTACACATACTGCGTTAAAAATATTCTTCCCAAATATCAGCTTATTGAAAACCACAGAGTAGTTTGGTACACCCAAATTTTAGGATAAAGTAATTTCCAAAAATTTGAAATTCCTAAATCTAGGAAACCAATTTTACTCATAAGAAGGTTTTAAAAGAAAATTCTGTGTTACATAGATAAAGCAATATCTTCTACTGATTAGTAATTCCTTACAAAATGCCTTATCTTACAAATGCCTTGTATCTTAGGTGTATGTAACAAACATATATGCAACTTCTATTCCCAATTCTTCTAATTTTTGTTCCTATGTAATATTTCCCAGATTCTTAAAATTAATACTTGATTTCAGCAAATATAAATCATAGTGGAGAATAAGACATTAGAAATTCAATATTTTTATTTCCAACTTTTTTGTTAATATTTATCCACATCTAATTTCCTGTCCCTTACACTATTTGACTGTAAACTTGCATAAATAGTTCCTATTGTTCTATCTTGGCTTCCTTCTAAGACAGACACTTGAAATCTTTGATTCTTTCAACTGCTGGACTCTTACTAATAAAACTCTACAGGGCTCAGCATAAAATAGCTTCTGAAAAGAATATGCTTAGCAATGCATTCATGTGAAATGACTGAGTCGCAGGCCCTCAACAGATAGACCGCTAACCACAGAAGACAGATAATGATAGGAGACGGTAGATGAGGAGTTACAATGATGTAAAGATTCCATGAGTCAGGTGATCACACCTCTGCACTGCTAGGTCATACCAAAGGGTATGGGGTATATTGACTAGTCTCTGTCAATTCAATCCCATCTTTCTGTTGGTTGGTTGTGGGTCAGCCAAGAGAAACTACTCACAGCAGGTCAGTGCTGCCTCCTTTGAGTGGCTGGTCAACATGAGTATGTGCGAACAGTGGAGTTGTCTAGCCTCTGCAGCCTTGATGAAGCAACTGCAAATGAGAAGAAGGCTTTAGAGGTTCTCACACCATCGAGGAGAGAGATTGGTTTTCCCTACATAAAGGGATCCTGACCATATTAGCAGACTATCTTTTCTCGGACAGGAGCCTCTCATATTCCTGTTCTCTAGACCCAGGGGCTGATGAAAATTTACCCAAGTGCAACTCAGCTGAGCTCTCCAGTCACTGTGTATTCCTCCTTAGATAAAATCTGTAACACAGCGTCTCCACGGGGTGAGCTTGCTTTTGTTGTTAAGATTACTCTGAGAGAACTCAGTATTGTGAAGTGTGGGTTTTTTCCCCCCTAAGTAGTGACAAACTTCTATACTAATTTTAATCATGCTAAATTATTCATGAACCTTGCTAACAAGTTCCAAAATATTAACAGGCTAAAAGAAATGTGGATCAAAGACACTTCATACTCAGATGTATTTTAATTGCTATAACAGCTTGAAAAGAAATGAAGAGTCTAGATTATTATCTTAGTAACAAGAGAAAGACTATTTTTATTTAATGCCTACCAAACAGAAATGATTTGAGGATTGTGATTACTATTTCAAAGTTGTCTCTCCAAAATGACTGTTTTATTTTGTGAAGGATGGAGCACAATGCTAAAGTCCACAGAAAGAGATGCAATTGGGAAATCACTGTGGTTTTTTTTTTTTTTTTTTTTTTTTTTTTTTTTTTTTTTTGTGTGTGTGTGTGTGTGTGTTGATTCTCTTCTCATGTTTATGCTTGTTTATTAAGGCTTTCTGCCTGGTCAGAGACAAAATATATCTGATGAATCTGAATTTGAAGGATAAAACAAAATTTGTACTATTACAACGCATAAAATTGCCAGCACAGTGATTCCCATTTCAAGTAGGGTTTGATTTCAAATCCAACCTCCATTTTAAATGTATTATTTATTTTGGGAATGGAAGAGTAAAGAAACACCAATCATGCATATATGTGTTTTTTTTTTCTAGATGTGGATATTAGTGGAACTGTGTATTTTTTTGGGGGGGGGATGTAAATTATTTTTCAAATGTGTATAAATTCTCATGGATTTATGCATTGGCAGTTTAAAAATGGTCTTCTTTTTGTTAAAAAGCAAAGTAAAATTCAAGCAGAGCAAGTCAACTCAAGAAAAGAATAAAGGCCACAAGGCTATGCAAAGTTGAAGAATTCTATAGCTTCGGCTAAACAAGCATTTTACTTCATAAGCAGAAATGTAAAACCACTGTACCATCCGTCGTCATTTTTCTTGACTGCCCAGATGTTGTGGTTAACCTGAATCCAGCGGGTAATGTCTCTGAGGAGCCAGGCATCATGCTTATTCCATGTACTTCACGAGGAGGGAACTGCCTTCGCCAGGTCGATCCACGTCTGAAATTCTTGTCATCATTCTGCCAGCACAGAGTCACAATTTGATGTCATGAAAACAAATAGGCTGCAGTCCCTACATCTGTGTGCTCAGGAGCATGGAACAGTTTATTTAAATTCAGTCTGTCAAGTACACATAGGAATGCTTTGCTTCACTTTGAACTCCTTGGTTGTTTCCAGAAGGAGACAGTAAATATGACAAAAATGTTTCTTAAATAAAATTTTAATATGATTTCAGATCTAAAGTTTGTCAGCTTTAAACCTTGAAATAATAAAATACTAAAGTTTCTTTTTTAAATCTAAATGGAACATTGGATTTATTTGGTTACACTTCTAATGGATTTTTCACGTGCTAATGGATTTTTCATAATGAGATGATATACTTAATTGCATCAGTTGTTAAGTAGATTGCACTTGAGTCAAGTAATCATCAAATATAAGTTTCATGTACACAAAAGGTCGATAGTATGCAAAAATCTATAGAGACATACCGGTTAGCAGGTGATACAATGGGCTATAACCTTATAAGAAATTGGCCGGGCGGTGGTGGCGCACGCCTTTAATCCCAGCACTCGGGAGGCAGAGCCAGGCGGATCTCTGTGAGTTCGAGGCCAGCCTGGGCTACCAAGTGAGTTCCAGGAAAGGCGCAAAGCTACACAGAGAAACCCTGTCTTGAAAAACCAAAAAAAAAAAAAAAAAAAGAAATGATTTGTCAGATTTTAGGTGATTATGAATTAACTGGATTTGTTTTGAAAATCCTTTGCAGCCTGGTCTCCATCATTTCAGTTTACACCTTTAATTGATTTTCAGGTGATGCTATAAGCAAAAGCTGATTCTAGTTATTAAACATTACATGCTAATGACACTGTTCCTGGTTACTCTCCAGAACTTAATATTAAGACCCCATTGCTGAAAACACCAGGTATGTGAATCATAAAACATGGTGAGATCAAGCTGGAATTCTTCTTGAAACTTCATCCCCACTGGCTAACTTTTATAGTTCTATAATGTACTGTATTGATAATGAGAGAGGAAAATAATCATCAATCAGTTGTATGCAGCTGTAATCCCTGTGAGTGGCAACAATCAGTGGCCTGACAAAACATGCCACCCCTGGTCCAATGGTGGCACTAACGTTATGGAAGTAACCAAACACATTTAGGTTGAATGGAAGGCCTGATCCACAAGATAGGACTCAGACCTAGCACAATTTTCAGGGCCAGGAACATGTGGCTAGACAGAATATAGGCCCTAAGGGGGAACCTACTAATATCACTCTGCTAAAGGGGTATTGAACTCAGCTGACTCCTAATGACTCGTTATTTTACCTATAGATTAGTGTAGCTCTCAAACCTTATCAGAGAAGCTTCTTTGTGCAGTAGATGGGCACTACTAGAGACTCACAACTGGTCATGGCACAGAGAATAAGGAACTGTGGAATGTTAAGCCTTATATGGGACATCTATATCACACCCATTTCTCCCAAGGCTCAGGGATCATTGTAGAAGAAAGAGTCAATGATTGCAGGAGCCAGAGGTCATAGATTACTACCATGAAGTTGTGTTGCAGGCACATCAGGGAAGCTGTACATAGGAACTCACAGCGGTTGTGATAGCAGTCCAAAGACTTGAGCAAGCTCAAGCCAGACAAAATTCTGGCATGGAGAAAGAGGTGACCCTAAAGTATCACCCATGGCTTAGGAGCTATTGATAACAGACAGTTGCTGAAAGAGGGAGAGTTAGTTTTCTCAAAAGATCCATACCCCTGGGAGCTTGACCACTTTGGATGGCCATGAATCCCAAAGTATATGAGTATCATTAATTGGATTCTGTGTGTTTACAAAAAAGAATGAGGACACAAAGTTGTGTTGATATGACTTGGAGGGGATGTTTGGGAAGAAATGGGGGAGGAGTGGGTATAATCAAAATACAGTGTATGAATTCTCTTTCTTTCTTTTTCTAAAGATTTATTTATTTAATATATATACAGTGTAATGTCTGCATGTATCCTTGTAGGCCAGAAGAGGGCACCAGATCTCATTATAGATGGTTGTGAGCCACCATGTGGTTGCTGGGAATCGAACTCAGGACCTCTGGAAGAACAGCCAGTGTTCTTAACCTCTGAGCCATCTCTCCAGCACGTATGAATCTTCAATAAAGAAAAAGTGATGTAATTCTGGCCACTAATTCTGTTACATCTCAATGAAATAATCGCTTTCCTTTTTCTGTATACACAAAGTACCCGTTCAAAGGTACTTTGAACAAATTATCTTTCTTTGAATTAGTTAGCAAGCAGAAACATGCAATTCACCATTTTGTGTGTGCATTTATTTCTAACAAGTGTATAAATCATCCTATATAGATATTATCTCCTAAGATCTCCAAGACTTGCTTCCTGAAGCTACATAGCCACACATGTTCCTGGACCACACTTGTGAAAATGAGAGACCTGCTCCATCTTCTTCTGGTCTAACTAGTACCCTTCCTTCCACAACACACGTGAAATTTGTTCACTTGATTTTATTCTCACATGTAGAGAAATAATTGACACTATTCATTTCAAATTGTTATGGTTCTGTTTGAACAATATAGCATATCTTATATTGAGTGTCAATTTAATTACCATTTAAGGTCTGTTTGGGAGAAAATTTAAATAACTTAAATATTAACACCCCTATTGTCAATACCTAAATTACATTTTTATTTGGTAATTTTTTTAAGTTAAGTGATATATGCTGTACCAAAGTGATTTTGTTTTATACTGTCTCAGAACGTCAATGTTCACAGGTGGACAAAAGAAGCAATATATTTCAATGCATTAACGGCCTCTCTGACTTCTATATTCTTGGAGAAGTGCTGTTTCAGTTAAATATTTATCAATTATGTAAACCCCTATCTTACATTTTAAGGCCATATGACTTCTTTAATATACAAGGTAAGTGTTTTTTATTTTCTTTCATTAGTGAGCAAAGGTCTCAGTCATGACACTCTTCCACTTTTCTTTCACCACACAAAGCAATCACTGCAGAACATAATTAGACATTCTTGCAGCAATAATTTAAGAAGACGTTTCCAAGAGAAAGGGTTAAGATGAATCTTTTTTTAAAGTTCTTAAAAAATATGTGTACATGTCTTTGTGTGTGGGGTTGTTTGTTGTCGTGCCTGTGGAGCTCAGAAAAGGATATCAGATCCACTGAGGTTGGGAGTACAAGGTAGGTATGGAGTTGCCTGGCGTGGGGGCTTGGGTCTGAACTGTGGTTCTCCAAAAGACCAGCGCATGTTATTAACAGCTGAGCTATTTCTCTGCCCCCAAAGCGGATCTTTTTATTTGAAGTCAAGTTCTTAGACATACATTAGAACTTCTCAAATGAGTTCAACAGAATATACATGTGGCCAAGAGAAAACAAAAGTCAATTCCCTAAAGTTAAGGCCAGTTGTTCAGTCATTAGCTTTGCTCAGATTCAAACACTGGACAAAAGAAGTTACAGAATTGCTATTATTTAGCCATACTGGCCTGCGTGTGCGTGTGTATAGTGTATGCATGTGTGTTGTTCATAGGTGTTCATTATATACATATGCATTTGTGTGTGAGGAGCAGAGATTTTTGGTAATCATTATCTGCCAATTTTTGATACAGGGCCTTTTACTATACTTTGTGATTACTCAACTAGCTTGGCTGCACCTCCAGTGGTCTATCTGTCTCAAGTGCCCCAGTGCCTGAAACCACCATTGTGTGGCGTCTTCTCTGGCCTTATAAACTAGTAATGGAAATCCAAACTCAAGTCGTCATGTCTATATAGGGAGCACTTCCCTGACTAAAGTATCTTTTTATCTCTTTAACTGTGTTTTGGAAAATATACATCATCCTGATCGGAGAATACTTCAAATATTTTAAGAGTTGGTTAGGGTTATGTTTATAAATTTCTAAAATTCCCTGTGCTCAGTACACCATGGGTTTACAACAGCAACGTAATCTACCTTGTCCATTTGAATATAGAATTATTGCTGTATTTTATGAATTTCCAAGTTCATTCTAATTTTTTGCATTTTTGTGGAACTGGATTAAACCTAGGATCTTGCATTTTCTAGGGACCTTCTTTGCACTGAGCTACATTTTCATAAAAGTCATTTTCAACAGCTGTCTTTGCAGCCAGGGAACACCAGTACTTCCCACAAGAATTATATGTCTCTATTTTCCACTCTATCCCAACGTTTTCTTTTAATTTCTCCCAGAAAATTTTATTTTTAAAAAAATGATCAGAAGGGCTCTCTTAATGTATCTGTCCATTGTGGAGATTACAAATTTCTATTTCATTTACTCATTTCAGATATCTTCTTACATATTCTTTGTTTTCCAAATCGCTTAAGCTGTGTATACCATACTCAGGGCGTCTTGTAATCAATATAACCGTTATAGCCTACAATTCTTAAGATTTTTTTTTTATTTTTAAGAAAACTAAACATCCCTATATAAAATTACAAATTTTCTAATTTGTCAAAACCAAATTCTCTCCTTTTTAATATTCTAGAGTTTCTGGAAAAGATGTAAGGGTACTTAGAAAATAGGCACATTCCTTATTTAAAAGTTGAACTTATCCATATTAGTGGTTTTAGCGATAAACTAAAACAAACTGTTTCTTGAAATTTTATGGTCACTGCTCATGGAAATGTCTTATTTTAAGTTAATTTTTAAGGAATACATACCAAAGTGACAACATTCATGAATCTTAGTGCTAAGTAAAATGTCAAAACTAAGAAATATAACTTAAAATTTAGGAGTAAATGAGAACGTTTCTAGATGCTACACATAAAACTTGCTAATTTGCAAGCCCTATTCCTTCAAAGCATGGACTGCTGCCATTCTTCATATAAGCTGTAAGGTACTTTAAAAAAACATTAAAATATGATTGCATCATTTTCCCCTTCCCTTTTTGCTCTACAACACCTCCCATGCTCTAACCCTCAAGTTCATGGCCTATTCCTTATTCTTGAGATTATAATGTAATCAAATTTCTTTCCTTTAGTCCCTCCATAAACTCCCTAACCCCTCCTTGCTCTCTTTCAAATTCATGACTTCTTTTGTCAATAATTGTTATTGCATATTATATATATATATATATATATATATATATATCCATATGTATTCCTCAGTTTGTATGATAGTGCTTGCGTCTATGTTTTAAAGATTGATCATTTGGTATTGGACAACCAATCTGTGTGCCCTTCTCTGGGGAAGGCTATTTTAACTTGTATGCTACTTCTGAATGTGAGGTAACAACTTACTTCATCCAGTCGCCGTTCAGTTCCCAGAGCCAGGAGGTTATTGTACTCGCGTTCAAGAATCTGCCTTGCCTGTTGACATCAAATCAAACTCACTGTCACCGAAGTTACATTTTATTAAATAAACATAAAGATTTTATTTATCTGAAGATGTGTTATGAAACATGTTTTCGTAGAGAGTTCCCTTGCATCAATGGCTGCAGTCAAGAAGCTTTTACTTCAAATGCTTATTTTATTCCAACTAAGTCTTTTATGTAAACTTTAACTGTCATGTTAAACTGTTTAAATGTTAAAAACATTTAATAAAGTTGTACTGCATTGGATTTTATCCAGTGTAACAGGTAGTTCATAGACTTGAAACTTTAGAAAAAATTTCCTGGTTTTTGTTTATTTGTTTGCTTGTTTTTTAAGACAAAATCTTACTATGAACACTAAGGTGGAAGACACTATCCCAGACTGGCTTTAAACAAGTGATTCCCATGTCTCAGCCACCAAAGTGCTGGAATGACAGGCATGCAGCACCTTGCCCAGTTTAAACCTCATATATGTAAGGATTCCTGTGCTACAGCTCTTAAAATGTTATTATTTTTATGGACAGTACAGTAAATCAGAGGTATTTGAATTTGCATGGAACTCTGCTGAATCATACACCTCTCCAGATTTAGGGATCGCCAGAACAATCAGTTAAATGTAAGTATAATTAAATATGTAAAGAGAAGGGACAGCCTATCAGAGACCAAAGGCCATCAGTCACAGGTATTGTTTCGAGGAGATATGGATTCAGGTAGGGGGTTATATCACAGAACTCCAACTCTCTGTCTTTCTAATTAAAAAAAAATTATTTTATGTTCATTGGTATTTTGCCTGCATGTATGTCTGTGGGAAGATGTCAGAAGCCCTGGAATTTGAGTTACAGACATGTGTGAGCAACCATGTTGGTACTGGGAATGGAACCTGGGTCAGATGGGAGAGCAGCCAGTGCTCTTAACCACTGAGCCATCTCTCCATCCCCTGCCTTTCTAATTTTAAGATTGTGTTTGCATAGCAACTTATTACCTTAAAATTGAAATTCCAGTGACAGAAATAAAATATGATTATATTAAATGGAACAAGCTAGGGACAGAGAGACATGTACACATGATGTCAGGTAAATATGGAATTTGAGCTCACAGAAGCTGAGTGTGGGATTGTGGTTAACGGAGTAGAGAGATTAGGGGCTGGGAGAAAGGCTTAACAGTGGGTACAAATTTATAAAGCTCCAATGAATCCATTCAATTGTAGGTAACTATAATATATTTTGTATTATTAAAGCTACAAGAAATTATTATAATTTCTTTGTGACTGATTTTATGTGTGGCCCTGGCTGGCCTGGAACTCATTGTATAGACCAGGCTTGCCTCAAGGTCAAGATCTGCCTGCCTCTTTTTCTTGAATACTGGGATTAAGGTATGTGTCACCATGCCAGGCTATTTTAGAAGATTTTATCAAAACAAGATGAAAATGTCTGAGGAACTATGTATGTCTAACCCAATATAAACAACACTCTGTTCAATATATATAGTATTCACATTATCTCATATTATTTATTATGTTTATATGTGTTAATTAAGATAAATTTAGTAAAAACAACAATAAATTCACAGCCCTATAATTTTCTAAAAGTTTCATTTGTTATTCTATTAACCAAGATCCGGTGAAGTGCAGTACAAAGGGGCTTGCTTGCCTGGGTGTTCTGTGTTGGAATCTGCAACAATAAAGCCAGGCTGCTGTAGTCAAAGTTCTCATCCAGGGCTATAAGCGAGCCATGCACTCCGCTCTCCAGGATGTTATTTGCATATTCTCGAAGTCCAATTGCTTGTATCCAGCGAATAACTCGATCATTGCTCCACACTAAGACATCTAGGAAAAGAGATGCATTACATCGAGATCCAATCCTTCGCATGATGAACAAAATCCCGGTTGAAAGGAGCTGCAGCTCTCTGGCCAGGTGACATTGATGCTGATCTCCCTGCTCCCTAGAGCTATTGACTCCATTCTGTTCCATGAACATGCTGTTCTAATCATCAACCTTTGCTGTGCTACATCTCACAATAAGTTGGCATTTTCAGAAGCTTATTCTTATGGAAAAGGCAGAACTTCTCTCACACTGAACACTGTATCAAAGTGTTTATTGATGTTTTTATATCAGGGCCTTGGAATCTAGTTGAAGTTGGGTGATTTTGCCACCAGATGGGGATAGTTGTCCCTCCCTCCTTTTTCACACTCCTAGCCCTCATTGTTCATCCTCCTTCTTCCTCCCTCTCTCTCTCTCTCTCTCTCTCTCTCTCTATATATATATATATATATACACATATATATGTATATATATATACATGTATATATATGTACACATATAGAGTGTATATATACACATATGCACATACATACATGTATATATTTATATACACACAGACATATATATGCATATACATACACATATACTTATATACATGCATCTGTGTATATATAGATACATATACATACACACACATTTATATATATCAACATTATGGTTCAAATGCTGTGCTTCATTTGAAGTGTTTTTTAAACACTGCTTCAATATTGTATATAATTCAAATATCCTTATTTTTCTCCTGATGTTACATGTAAAAGAAAATTATCAGAACAAAAAGAAAGTACATTGGCACTTTGATATTATTATTATTATTATCATTATTATTATCATCATCATCATTTTGGTTTTTTGAGACAGGGTTTCTCTGTGTAGCTCTGGCTGTCCTGGAACTCTCTCTGTAGACCAGGCTGGCCTCAGACTCAGAGAGATCCTCCTGCCTCTGCCTCCCTGAGTGTTGGAATTAAAGATGTGCACCACCACTGCCTGGTGACACTTTGGTATTAAGTTATTATTTTTTCCAATAATTTAATACTGGCAAAAACTCAAGCATACATTGACACATACCATAAGTTGATTTTTCTTTGTTTAAAAGTGGCATTTCTAGGAAATACAAAACATTTTAACATTTAGTTCCTAAAAAATAGGACCTTCAGAGGAAATGCCATGTGTGCCTGTTTGAGATAAAACCCAGAAAAATGTGTTTTTTTCCATTGATTCTATCATATCTTGACTTTACGAGTCAGCAGAATGATGCACAAAAACTATAAAGTCATATGTACACCATAATGCTCTGTATAAAGAACAAAATTAAAGGAATTAAAGATTAAGTAAGAAAACAATAAAAGATTTTCTCTACTTGCAGAAAAGAAATCAAAGTGTTGATGGTACCCACATTAAAAGCAGCATTTCTGTAAATAGTTTTCTTTCTGAGTAAAATTTATACTTAAACATATATATATATATATATATATATATATATATATATAGTTAAAGTTTTGTTTGCAAAGCTATCATCAACTTGTTCTACTTCACTCATTTGTCATCAGCATGGGTTCCCTCATTCGTAACATTTCAACAAAATGATATCACTGTCCCAAGCAGAATGACTCATTCCCTTGGTGACTGGTCCTACTCTGACCGTAACCTGTACTGGCTCTGACTAATACTTGTGTGAGTATCTCCATTACTTCTGATTTTCAATGTTCTGATATCATGGTGTGTCTTCTACAGAAACCATGACAATGCTATTTTTTAATTTCTGTTTTGAATACACTAGTTAGCGTATCTCTATTTCATATTATTATTCAGATATCTCAATTTCAATCTATCATAATCATACTTGTCTTAGCTTTCATCATTCCTTACCTTTTAACTATTACGTATTTTCTTTTTAATTTTTTTCTAACTCCCTATTACAGTTCTTCTATTTTATATTATTCTGCCACAAGTAATGCTTAAAACTTAAACTATATATTCTTGACTCATTAATGTCTTCTATATCTTGGGTCTTATATCATTTTATAGATATGGACAGCTTCAAATCATTTAATTTCTTTTGCCCCAATATAATCATTGTAGCATTTCAGTTGTTATTTGTTGTAGTTCTGTATAAAATCTAAGCCCTCTAGACATTGTTACCTGCAGGAGTAATAATTTTACAAATACATTCTTTGGGTATGTATCCATACTGCAATTTGTATTAGCTTTGTAGTTTTTCTTCTGTCTAAATCTGTGGTTCTAATATTTATTTTCTGATTCAACTTTGTCTCAGATTCTGTTTCCCTGAAAATGTACTGAATCTGCCATTACTATTAGTGGACTTGTAGATCCCTAACTATTGATTACCTGGACTGGGTAAGTGTGAACAGGTCACACCACTACTAGTTCACTTATGTTTACTAAATTCATAATTTTTTTTTAGACTAATGAGATAACCCTTCTTCAAAAATGATAAAAAAATGAATTTGACTTCACAATGTGCAGATGCAGATGTGCACATAAACATGCTTGCTCATGCTTTTGTAGTATAAGACATATTAGCTTGTTTCTGAAATATATGTCAATCAAAAATCCCCATCATACATGTAGTTAAGAATAATTAAATAACACGGTACATTTATGGCATTGAGACAGATAAACTCTAATTGTAACTTTTCTTATTTGGAACAGCCTCATAGTAATTGTAATATAAATACCTTTCACAGCAAAATTATACCCTGGCATGTATGCTTAATAGGAATCCTCTTGACCTAATGGCTGAAGATCAATGTCAACTGTGTCTTAGCAACAAATTAAAAGTTAGTACATTCTTGACACCTTCCTCTCATCAGAAACCTGGTTTCTAAGGTCAAAGTTAATTAGCACTTCCGGTTAATTAGCACTTCCCATAATAACAGAGCATCTAGTTAGAGCTGAGAGCTATTCCTCTAAATGCCATCAGGGCAATTGTAGGAAGCAGGAGTTACTTATGATCTCACTTGCAGCCACTTATATTTTGATTGTTTGTATGTAACACAGTGAATCAGAGCAGTTTTTTCCTTAGGGCTATAGTCTAAGCCATGACTGCCAAATAATAATAGAACATTTGCTACTGGGCCAAAATGGGCAATTCTCCTCTTTCAGATCAATCTATCTGTAGAGAAATTCATGCCGTGTGATCCGGCATAATGCAAGCTACTTGGGAAATATACTTCAGAAAGAATACAAGAAAGTGGTATCCTACAGACAAAAATCTACTCATGAAACAAAACATCTTTTGTTAGGTCAAACCCACATTCCCTTCTGGGGTCTGTCCTTGGTCCATTAGTTTCTGAATTTTAATTCAACTGTAGAACAATACACTTAAAACAACCTACAATTTCCTGGGGTCCAAAAATAAAGAAAAATCTGAGAACTTGATTTTGACAAAGAAAAAAAATACATTATTGCTTCTTGTTAGCAAGCTAAGTGAAGTGTTAAAAGAAACCCATCATGTATTTATCTACTCACTGGTGAACAGTGTATGTATTTAAAAAAACGTTCAAATATTCATCTTCACAAGCATCCAAGTACAGCTTTCTAGAAGTAATTTAATGTTCAAAATTGCTAGAGATAAATTTTCTGAAGCTGACACAATGAATGTAAGGAAAACCTGAGACAGGTAATCATAAATAAAAAATACAACAGTGTTAAAACTTTAATATGAGAAGAGAGGGATAGGTAAAACATGCCATTTTCTTATGTAAAATAGGCTGTAAAGGAAATTAAGATAAAAAGAGACTTGTACCCACTTTGAACAGTTAATGTGGCATAGTCAATCCCACCCTATGTTATGAAATGCTTGCAAGTGTCAGTTCATGGGTCATGGGAAATGAGAATATAACATAAATAATTTCATCGCTGTGCTGGACAGATTTATGTCAATTTGACAAAATCTAAACTCAGATGAGAGGAGGTAACCCCAATTAAGTAAATGTCTCCATAAGATTAGGTTGGAGGCAGTCCTGTGGGGCATTTTCTGAATTAGTAATCGATGTGGGAGGTCCTTGACTATTGTATGTGGGGCTACCTTTGGGCTGGTGGTGTTCCTGGGTTCTAAAGGAAAGCAGGCTGAGGAAAACACAGGAAGCAAGCCAGTAAGCAGCACCCCTCCATGGCCTCTGCATCAGCTCTTGCCTCCAGGTTCCTACCCTATTTGAGTTCCTGTCCTGACTTCTTTCAATGATGAACAGTGATACGGACTTTGTAAGCCAAATAAACCCATTCCTCCCCAACTTGCAGTTTGGTCATGGTGTTTCATCACAGCAATAGAAATCCTAATGAAGATAATATTTAAAACATTTTTCAAAAACATTTGAACACATTTAACAAGGCTATTCCTCCTTTAAAAAATATGCAGATTAAAATTGTTTACTAACAAAACCAGAGGACTGTGTATGCTTACATCTAACATCCAACAACTTGTTTTTCTTTAATAATCAGAAAGATCTAGTGGTTTGCAGCAAGGGAAAATCCAGTGTATTTGCTTTTTACAACATGTTTTCTCTTCTATATTAAAGTGATATGTTTTTCCTGTGCTAGATGCTTGTGATGTGATATATGAAATGATACGTACTAACGATATGGTATAGTGAAGTTAGTATTGAACCCTTAAGAGGAAACTAGTGGGAAGTCCTTAGGTTAGCCATGGGTCCTTCCCTTGGAAGGGAGTAAAGTGATTCTTGTAGACTTCTTGCTAATTCTCCTAAGGGGGTTGTTATAAATGACTGAGTCTACTAAGACCAAGAATCTTGTCTGCAATGTAACTGTTTATAACCCGTTTGCTAACGTGAGGTTAGGAGGGCAAGGGAGATGCTCACAAAAATCTGTGCCATGCTGTGTGGATTTTTAACCTCACAAACATGGAGATGCATCTCTTCTTTCAAAACTCATCTTACCTTGGATAGTTTGTTATAGTAACTCAAAACTGAATAATAGAAAGGTTAATTATTAAATATATTACTTTTCAAATGTGTTTGCAGCAGGTCTGTCTTTGTACACAGTGATTGCAACAGTTAGTCTTGCAACATGAACATGACTCTGAACTAAAGTTATTAATAGACTGGTAAATTTCAGAGAGGAGACATTGACAGAATTTCCTCATAAATTCCCAATACAATTTTTTATAATTACTTATGAGAAAATTTCTGAGAACTGAAATTAAATTCAAATGCTGTAAACCAAGACGAACATCGGCATCCAACAACTTGTTTTCCTTTAACAATTGGAAAGATCTAATGGTTTCTGACAAATGAACATCTAGTATATTTGTCTTTTAAATTATGTTATCTCCTCAATATTAAGGTGAACAGGTAATTTGGTATGGTTTTAGTGTTCCCCAAATTTTCCTATGTTGGGTTCTTTTCCCTTAGTGGTATAATATACTGCTGTAGAAACAACATATATTTTCTGAATTATAAAGACAATATTCTTTTAAAAATGTTCTACAAAAAGGTCTACAGAGAGCCATTTTTAACATGGGCAGAATACATCATTAATACGTTCAGAGAGATAAATTTACTTCCAGAAAGTCAAGAGTGTGTCCTCAAAATGATTGACCTTACGATGTAGCAATATCTTTTTTTTGAGTCATAACTGAGGAAAAACCAGCAATGACACTTTGAGCAAAATGTGTGATATAGTCTGATGATGATTGTTTCATATACACCATCTTAGGTTTAAGAACAGAGATTTCAAAACCTCCCCAGGAAAAACATTTGTTACTAAACAATGGTGTGTTACCTTTTATTTCATGTTGGCTTGTGTCTCGTCTTCTCTCTAGCTCTTTTCTATCATAATTCAATCTTTTCAAGCACATAATTCCATATTGTAAACTTGTTCTATTTTCAGAAAGGAGAAGACACATTAAATTGCAGCACCAGGTGAAGAATATTCTGTTATTAATTATGGACAACTGTACCTTACTCTCTAGAAGAGCCCATTTATCACTTACATCCACAATAGTTCCTTTTAATTAGTAAGGATTATAGATTTAATTATCTCAAGAATAAAATGTTTCTAAAACAAAGAAAATATTTGATGCATAGGATATTCACAATTTTTAAAATAATGAGAGATAGTTATCTATAGTTCCATAGATATCCATATGTATAGACACATAATTATACATAGTTATCTGGACAGTTACACATCTGTCTTCAATTTAGCATTTTCTACTGTACAGTTTAGCAAATTAGTGTTTTACTCCTTCACAAAGAACTTAATGTCTCTCCTTAGAGACGGGAATAACTTGATAGTAAATCAAAGATTCTTTGACTGATGAAAAAAAAAGGGGTGAATTAAGTAGTAAGGTGGGGTACAAAATATGAAGAAATAGCCACCAACACTAGGACAGACCAGTATGCAATAAAGAACAAGGCAGAGTCTCCCGCCACTCTGCAGAGAGGGTGCTGGGGAAGAGAAAACATCATGGCACGCAGAAGAGTAAGATGCAAGAAAGGTTAGGCTACTAGGGGAACAGAACATTATAAATCGGACTGCAGTACTGTGGATGAAATTTCAGAGATATGGCGATATTGAGACACGCCATGTAGAGCTGAAATTCAGGCTAGCAATTAAGGGGCAGATACAGTCCCCTATGAGAAATCTAGATATGCCAAAGCAAGACTTGCATGCCATGTGTGAGACGCATCCTTGGGGAATTTTCAGAGAGAAAAGATATTAATAAAATGACTTCTTTTTACTTTTGTCTTATTTAGGGAATAATGATCTCATAGCATGTACAACACAGGGAAATGGTGATCCTAGAAGACAGAAAAAAATTAAGGGCATACAGCAGTAAGTATAAAAAGGAAACCTCACAGATGCCCAGAGAGAAGAAATAATAAAATTAGAGTTAGTAATAATAGATTGAGTAGAAATAAAGACTGTAGAAGAGTATGATAGGAAAATAAAAGGGCTTCTAGGTTTAAAGTAACAATCATTGAATATCATTAATTTCTTTTTTTGAGCTGCATTTTTTATTATTATTAAGAATTTTTTTATTCATTTTACATACCATTTGCAGATCCCCCTCTCTTTCCTCCTCCAACCTCTCAGCCTTCCTCCTCAACCTACCCCCTATTCCCCCTCCACCCACGCCCCATTCCCCCTCCACAAGGTTAGGCCTCCCATGGGGAGTCAGCAGAGCCTGGTACATTCAGTTGAGGCAGGTCCAAGCCCCTCCCTGTGCATCAAGGCTGTGCAAGGTATCCCACCATAGGTAGTGGGCTCTAAAAAGCCAGCTTATGCACTAGGGATGGATCATCCTGAGTGAGGTAACCCACACTCAGAAGGACAAGCATGCTACATACTCACTCATAAGTGGATGCTAGGTGTAAAGCAAAGGATAACCAGACTACCACCCACAGCTCCAGAGAAGCTAGCTAACAAGGAGGACCCTAAGAGGGATGCATGGATTGTCCTGGGAAGGGGAAATAGATGAGATCTACGTGAGTAAACTGGGGGTGAGGGAGGCAATGGAGGGTAGGGAATAGGGGGTGAGAACATAAGGGAATGAGATGGTCGAGCCAGAACAGGAACCAAATGGGAGAGTGATAAAAGAGATACCATGATAGAGGGAGACATGGGGACAGGGAGAAGTTGGGTGCTAAGGAAGTTTCACGGGAACCCAGGAATCCACAAGGATGACCCAGCTTAGACTACTAGCATTAATTTCTTAAATGTTTAGCAGTAGATACATATTCAGACATGTACACCAGAGAGTCTATCCACATACACGCACACAGACACACACACACAATACATTTCTGTGTTATGTAATGTGACACAAGCATCTGAAATCCCAGAAAAAAGAACATGAGCGCATGTCTCCCTACACGCATATACTGAAACCTTTACCCACATCATCCAGAATGGAGATGGAACCTTTAAAACGGGACAACCAATTTAAATGATGCCATCAAGTAGACATTAATCTATTATTATAAGAATAAACAATTTGGAAAATCACAGAGAGTAGAAGCGTGTACTTCCAGAGGAAAGGCTAAATATGGACACATAGAGAGGATGGGAGACCTCCAGATAAACAGACATGTCCATACCTTGATCATTCCCTCCACCACCTAGAGGAGGGACTACCAGGCTACAACACAGTATTTAACAAACAGTACCATTCATCATAAGCCCTGATAAACCTGATAGAATATAAATAATCTGAATGAAAGATTTATTCCTTATTATCACATTTTGACAGATTTTAAACAAAACATTCAGCAGTAGTTTTTCAAGAACGTATATGCTAATAACCCAAAATATTCACATTTATGTAAGAACCAAAAGGACAATTATGTCCCTCATAAAAGAGTTTTTTCTAGTATGTCCTTAAGTTACACAGTTTATAATCACATAGCTTCGTAAAGTTTGAAACTACAAATATTCATTTAATGTTCATAAAATGTTTGTTTTGTTCTTAGTGTTTTTTTTTTCATTTTCTTTTATGTGTGAGTGTTTTGCTACCATGCATATGTGTGCACCATGTGCATGCTTGATACCCCTGACAATCAGACGAGGGCATCAGATCAGTGCAGACTGGACTTAATGATGGTTGTGACCCACCATATGGATGCTAGGAATTGAAGCTGAGTCTTCTGTGGGAGCAACAAGTGCTCTTAACCACTAAGCCATCTCTCTACCTCATAGGTAATCCTCTAATATACACCTAAAAAATAATTATAAAAAATCCAATCAAGAAAAAGCCAAAGTGCTCACTATGAGAACAACTTGTGTATGTACCTTTGCGTGTAACATAAACATAGCTCTCCATTAGCAAACCCTTCAATCTTTGCCTGAGCATTTGTTGCATGTAGATGACACAGACCTTCAGACTGAGAAGCCTTCTCTTTCTACTGTCCTATTTTCTTTTGTTAGCTGCATATTGATTATGGTTTCACTTTCACCGTTCTTTTCTGAAAACCTACCGATGGAAACTATCCACCATTTTTAAATGGACACGAAGATCTTTTTTGGTGAGGTGGTCTAACATCCGTGCGTCAACCAAGCATTCCATAAAGTAACTTCTGTACTGAGGCAGCCCCAGGCTGGGCAGCCATTCATTTCCAATCCACTCGTGGTTCATATCTCCATAAGCCAGGGTCTGTAGAAAGACCGGACACTGGAATTGTTTTATAGCAGTCAAGTTTCTTAACCAATAAAATGAGATGGTAAATGGAGGATATTAGCAATTATGATAACTGAAAATTCATCACTATGATACATATGTCAACAAAAAAAGAGATAACATTTAGCCTGAATGTATTTTTATTTACTCTAGCACAAAACAAACTCTGCATAATTTGTTAGAACATTTGCCTGTAAAAATAAGTAACTTCACTGTGTATTTTAAAACAATAAATTTTGTCCAAATATGTGTCTGGTTAGTAAAAAAATCAACATATAGCTAGAGGTATGGTATGCATTTGAAACCTAAAGATTCCATTTCTATACTGGTAGAATTCTTTACTTCCTTTATTCTTAAAGTACTACACCACTTCCCTCCATCAATGATTCTATAGCTATTGTCCTTGTGTCATAGCAAACCCTGATGTGAAACAGAAACCTTAGTAAACAAATAAAGGAAAAACAGGGAGAGTGAAAGACAGCATGCTGACATTATACTATGGGGAAGAGAGTATATTGATCATTCCATTAGGTTCCTAGAGGAATCCTTGACCAGAAATCAGTCAATCTATGTGTGTAAAGCAGCCTTGATCAAAAACTAAGACAGATAAGCTAACTCTTTTTTTGAAAAGTAAGAACCGATCTTCCCACATGGTGTTCAAACAGGTAAAATAAAAAGTCATATCAACTACCAGTACTAAACTCAATTTCTACAAAAAGATCATTCATTTTTGAGAAAATTTAAAGGAAGTATATTATTAATCATTTAAAGGATATTGATTTTAGAGAGTAATCTACTTAGTGAATAGTTGTACTGTGAATTCACAGTTCTAATTATACTATGTAAATATAGCAAGAATTTGGATGTTCTTTTTTTAAGAATTATGAAATTTGTTTCAGTGTGTTAAAATTGACTGTAACCTATGCTACAGCATGCTTAAATATAGATCCTTATAAAGGCACCAAATTTTATTTACTTTCTAAATTTATTCTCTCAGTTGTCCAACCTGTAGAAATGCTGAAAAAAATGTGCACTATATTATTTAATATAAATTTCTGTCTCCTGTGATCAATTTAATAATTGGGATTATCCTCATCTTACACCTGCTGTGCTGACGTCTGTCATTCTTGCACCAAGCCCCCAGTGCTGCTCATGACACCTGAAATCATACAGGCCAATGCTTTACAAAAGTCTTTGTGAGATTTTCCCAGAGCTTCAAATTGTATGATTATATATACCTTGGTTACATATATTACACAGTAATATCAGAGAAATTCAAGTTATAGATCCATTTTTGGAGGAAGAAAGAAAAATTACCCTGTTGTAGATACTATGAAATGATAATCATCTTAGTTACAAAACATGGTGTATAACTATGCACCTATAATATTAGATATAATACTAATTTAAGTATATATAGCAGTCTAATTGCTGAGATAAGTGATGTTTTTAAATATTATGACCTACAGTAGTTTCCTAATTTATATTGCATATTTTACTATGTCTTAAAGTATATGAGTTTCCTACCTGGGCCCAGCTTCCTTCCTCAGATTCTTTCTGGGTTAGCAGCAGGAAGTGATTAATAAAGCAGGTAAACATAAATTAATTTCAAGTGACTATTGAAAAAATTCTACCAGAAGCATAATTGTAATATAGTATGTTAAGTACCATGACATAAGCAGACATGCGCATACTTACACTCATTCAATTTCTCAGATAAAGAGCACACAACAGAGTTTTAATTAACTCTCATTTAAATATACATAAACACACTGGAGTTATGAGTTCTGTAAAAATTTGATCTATTGTTGACTTTATATAAATTTCCAAATTTAGTACAAACATAATTATATGTACCTATGTATAATGAAAAAAGGTTACAGACCAGAAATTAATGAAGTGAATAACTATCTTTCTCTCAAAGCTTTGGGGGCAAACACCCCAAAACAGCCAACCAAGAAAACAGAAGGATGCAACTAAAAATGCAAATTAGCATGTGACTTTGCATTACTACATTTACACCATTACATTACAGATAAGCAAAAATTTTAATGGGAATTAAGGTGAAAGTACTTTAAAATGAAGTTGCTAGAGGTAAAATACATGGTGTGTCCAACTTTGATCCTTTCCATAAAAAAATGACTCTGTAAAAACATCACATTTTTAAAGCTGGTGATTAGAATCCTTGAAGTCATTTTAAACGGTACTTTTAAAAGTCAAATGAATATAACAACACTTCAATTTTTTTTCCTAGAGGTCTACATGTGGGATAATATAGCCCAAGAAACTACATAATTACATTAAAAGTGATGATTCAATGTAAGCTTTTCTACAACTGATTAAGTTTGATTTAGTAATATATATATATTAATATATATTCTTATGGGTATGTGCTAAGAAGTACTATCAAAATTTCCAGTGTTCCTAAATTTTAATAAATTATTTATTGCTATTTGCATATTACAACAGTGGATCATAGACACTTAGGATAAGAAGCACATGACATCTAACACTTTCATTTTCAGGTGTCAAACAAATATACTAAAGTAAATATATAATCCAAACATCAGTTATCTCTGTGTGTAACTGTATACCTCATTTCTTTGGTTTATAGTATATCAATTCCTGTCTTTTCTTTTTTTATGTATAAACACTTTTGTTTGGGTTCAACAAAGACTAACCGTTTTTGCTGGAGCTGCAAGGTTTTCCATTTCTTCATGGGTCACCCAGACATTGCCTGAAGGCTAGTGAGGAGCCCAAAGGAAGCAGTGTCATCCATGGAGGAGAAACCAGGGTAGAGAGAAAGGAGGCACCTCTGTCAATCAACAGCATTGCATACACACCACATCAGTCCTGCTCTACTCATGCATCACAAGTTGACACTCTAGAGCCATTTTTTCAGTTTCTCAAGGGACTAATCAGACAGAGACATGCTGTGATGCTCATATTCTCTTAGTTCTTTGGCTATTAAATAAAATAATGCTTTGGAAAAACTTCATGTTCCAAAAGAATGTAGTCATCAGGTTCAATTTTGTAAAATGACAAACTAACTATAAAATAATGTAGCATTGCTCTTTTTCTTATAAGGGGTTGACTCAATATATGAGTTGTTTATCAAGGGAATTTCATTCACATACTTTTATTCATCAATGTACTGGGAAACAGTAGATTGACTGTTACAGAGAAGATGTAAACCTCACAGAGTGTTTGAAAAATGCATTCCCTGCATTCTTGGAGAAGAAAAAGACCTGAAACGTTATTTTGAGATACTATTGATTTAAATAAGTTATTTCTCAGCCTCATCAATACTGTCAAATTCCCAAACATTCATTTCCTTATTATTCAGTCATATCACCATTTGTTGTAGTTTGAATGTGAGATGTCTTCCATGGGCCCATGTCTTTGAACAATTAGTCTCCAAATGGTGATAAAGATGAGGAAGGGTTATGAAACCTTTAGGAGGTAGAACTTTATTGGAAAACTGAGTCACTGTGGTCAGGCCATGCGGTCCACTTCTGTCTACATGTGCTTCCTAAGTGTGGACACAGCTGATCTGCTTCCTGTTCCTGCCACTATGTTTCCCTGCCTGCTGCCATGCCTTCCCCACCACGATGGACTGTACCACTCTGAAACTGTAAGACAAGGCAAATTCTTTCTCTTTTCACTTGCTTTTGTCAACATCAGAGGGATAACGAAGACACAGTTATAATATGCTTTTCTTGTGTTTGTGAGCTAAGACCTTTGCCCCAGCATCACACCCATGCCATGGCAGAGAAACACAAAATAAACTTTTTTTTAAATACAATGCACTATTCTTTTGGGAAGTCTCTCCTTTTTTTCTCTAGCCATATAATCTAATATTATCTCTACATACTATATAATCGATAATTTGAATTTAAAATCTGCTTATTAACATAGGAATCATAATATTATTTAAGGTTCTTTCCACTGGATATCACTCCATATAAAATTTCACAATTTCTTTCCAGGAAATACATATGCAAATTTATCCAAATAGTAACACTTACTGGTTCTTTGTTTTAGAAGGAGCAGAAAAGGCAATGTCCAAATATCACAAGCTACTCATGGAACGTTGTTCTACACTTCACCTAATACCATGTTTGACTTTCCTCATAGGTAATGAATAATGTATTTTGATATAAATTTAGAAGTAATTATATGGAAAATAAAATGAGTATTATTTGATATGAGAGAAATCTTACATAAATTATATACTAGTGAATCATACATATTATTCTTACATGTATACTATATATATAATATGCACAAACATTTCTCTAACAAAGACTTACACAGTGAAGATTCTTAATTTTAAATAAATCAGAAATGTTAAGAGGGCTAAATGTCATATATATGCACAGAATTCTCATACTTAGCTGCTGCAGAATTTAGGTATAGCCAGTTTTTTTTATAGAATAAAATTGCACACTTATGCAACAAATTTACAAGAGCCACTCATATCACTGAAAGTCTGACTAACGCTGACTTGTGCAGATTCCCCATTGATTCTGACGCCAAATAATGATGATCTTGCTCTCCCCATAATGGCCTTGACCGGTGTTAACTCTATTGGAGCAGGACTCTTCCACTGGTTTTCTGAAATCCTGCCCTGGGGGGTATGCAAAGTACTGCAGGATTGGTAAGATTCTAGAAGCTACGGTTGTATAATTATCTTCACTTACAAAATGAGCATAATTCCAGGGCAATTTGTGAAAACAGGATTGCCAAACTTTTGGAAGTTGCATGTTAAGAAGTTACATTTCATGTAAAATGTACAAGTTACTTTCTTAAAATGGGCTTTTCTTTACTATCTCTTGTATGTATGAGACAGAGTGAGTGTAAGCATGGTGTAGGCACATATTTTCAGTGTCTGTACAGTTGGGTTCAAAGGTCAGATGAAAGTTTTGAGTGTCTTCCTCTATCTCTTTCTGTCCTGTTCCTTTGAGGCACAGTCTTTCCCTGAACACCAGGCATGAGCATTCTTGGCAAGGTTGGATGTCAGCAAGCTCTAATGATTCTCTTCTCTGTGCCCATTGGAGGAGTTTAAAACATGTGCAAGATTCCTGGTTTGTTATGTGAGTGCTTGGATCATAAAACTCATAATTATATAGTGAGCACACTTCAACACTGAACCATCTCCACAGTCCATGATACATACTTTCGCAGAAATTTTTTTGCCATATAATTTTGTGAAACAAAACACCAAATAGCTTTTCTACAGTCCACTCAGGTAATCAGTAGTTGAGGCTTGGGGTTGTTTGTTTGTAATCATTTGTTTGTCGACAGTAGCTCACTCTGAAGTCCCTCCTGACCTATATATATCTCACTAAGTATTCTTGGCTGATCTTGAACTCATAGAGCTCACCTGCCTCTGTCTCTTGAGTCCTGAGATTAAATACATGAACTACCATTCCAGAACAGCTGAAGTTTTAATGGGTTTATTCAGTTTAATCATCCTCACATCCAGTAAGTAAATTAGTCAATCAGTTTACTTTCTTCCCAGTACCTTCAGAGGACTCAGTCCTCATCTGAGTGTCAGTTAGAGGTTCAATGCTTCAGAGATGAGCAGAACAGCTTGTCTAGGAGGCTACGAACAATCAAAAGAATCTTGGCCTTGAAAGCGAGGTTGAAGGACATACCAGTAGTAGTTTGGACAAGAATAAGGACCAACGTCAAAGAATCTGTGGCTCTTTGAGAAGCTTACTACCATAGCAGTTTATGCTCAATTCTCAAATAGATGTGATCCATGAAATAAAAATTACTATCCGTCTCAATGGCCAACATCATCTAGCAGGTGATTAATAAGATCCCAAGTGCATTTCAAATTACTATGCTGGAAGTTTGAGTTCCTGTATTGCCACTATTCAGTAATTGCCCTAGAATGATGGCAAAATGTCTTTAAACATCAAATTCTCCATGTCTAAAAAAGAACAAAGTACATACTTCATACTGGATTAAATCATAACACAAGAGCAGACTAGGATGAGGAGATAAAACTGGTCCATGAGGCTAAATTTAAGGAAGTATTCATTTTCAAAGTCATGGGAAAGCAAGGTTGGCACTGATAATGTAAGCTTCCTTAAACTTTGAGTTTTCCTTGGCTCGCTTTCTCCATTTAAGTGAAGATTGGGTAGAACACTTACAAGGTATTATTAAGTGAGACTTAGGAGGAAAACTCCTAAAGGATGTTATGAATTCTAGTCCGTACCTAATTATATCATTCAGGAAGAAACTATGGCAGGAAAATAAATATTACATGAACTCAAAGTATAACTCACAAAAGTTAATCAGGGGAAATAGTTTTCCGACTGTCAACATTATAAGAAATCAACTGTCCAGACCTCAGACTATTCATATTTGCTCAAAATACATTTTGTTATTAACTCTGTCACTTTGAAGTATTGTTCATTTTATAGGTGAATTACAAAGTAAAGTAACTTAAAATTTACTATTTAAATCTTCTGGAGTGATCTTAAAGTTGTGGTTGTTTGTGGACACATGTATGTGTGCAGGTGATCCACAGATCAGTGATTTGGATTACTGACTCTCCAGCCCCTGGTATATTTTTGAACAGAATTTTATGTGAAAATTTTGTTTTGCAAAGCAAATGGCATTTGAAATATAAATGAGCAAATGGTTCTGTGAAGATGGAGTACAAGGAAGAAATTAAATGCAGTAGAGTAACTTTAAGAGGCACAACTCTACTTGTTATATGCATTTTGCATCAGTATATTGCTTAATGCATATAGGCTCTATGACTAAAGAGCTTTAAATCATTAGTAAAAAGGCAACTATCCCTTTAATTCAATGGAAACACTGAAAATTTTCAGGAATGCCCAGACAGCTACTAGAATAGATTAAACCATTAAGTTTACGAGTAGTTTAAAAAATTTAAATACAAGCAGTGAGATAATTAGTGGCTAAGACAGGGGGAATGGCAACATGGTTTGACATTTAATATGTTAAGAAAATAAATTGTCCATATACAATGTGGCTATAAACACATTTTATGCAATAATGTATGTCCATGTACCTATTTTGCACATACTGGAATTATTAAATATTTTGGTAGTGATGTTTATATAAATTATATTATCTCTATAAAGAAGAGACGGAAAGATTAAATTTATATTTTAATACTTGAGGAATATATTTATGCTATATTACTAATTTTGAAAGGAAATCACAAAGTACTGTGTACTAGAATAAGGAAAAAGACAAACAAATCCCCATTAAAAAGTTAATGAAAAATTAATAAAAAAAGATTCTTTTTTTTTTCTCTGTGCTTTTTCCAATCATGGTCTCAACAAATAGCCACACTAGTGGAAACACATGAACTATGAACCAATAGTTGAGGAGCCCCCAACTGGATCAGGCCCTCTAGATAAGTGAGACAGTTGATTAGCTTGAACTGTTTGGGATGCCCCCAGGCAGTGCCTTAGTATATGAGCTGGCTGTTTGGAGCCTGGGGCCTATGCAGGGACACTTTGCTCAGCCTGGGTAAAGGGAGGAGGGGACTGGACCTGCCTGAACTGACTCTACCAGGCTGAGCTGAATCCCCAGGGGAGTCCTTGCCCTGGAGGAATTGGGAATGGGGGGTGGGCTGGGGGGAAGGCGGGGGGGGGGGATGGGAGGAGGGAGGACAGGGGAATTCGTGGCTGATATGTAAAATTAAATTAAATTATAAAATAGAAAAAATAATATAAAAAAAGATTTCTTTTTTTATACTCTGCTTCTGTCTCACACGTAGGAATTAAACAATTTCAGCTCATACTGAACTCACTATTCAACGTGCCTTCCTTACTGTATTTTTCTGGGGGGCAGAATTCAGAGCTATGTATAGTTTATATCATCTGTATAACTGGGAAACATGTTCTATAATGACTGTGTGTGTGAGTGTGTGTGTGCGTGTGTTTGTGTGTGTTTGTGTGTGTGTGTGCACATGCATATGTGTGTACATGCTCTTGTGTCAATGATATGGATGTGTATATATATATCTAAGTGTGTGTGTGTGTGTATATATATATATATATATATATATATATATATATATATATATATATGTAGAAGCCAGAATTTGGGCTTAGGTGTCCACCTTGATGGTGTTGCACTTTATTGAGGCAGGGTTTCTTGCTGAACTACGAACTTAGAGGTTCAGCTGGGCTCCCTCCTCCATTTCCCATCTTTGCCTCCCAGTACAGGGCTTAAAAGTATGCCAAAAAACTCACCGAGTTCTGTTTTTTTTTTAACCTGGGTCTGCAGATCTAAATCCCTTTTCCCCACGTCACATGGCAAGAACATTATCCATTGAAACATTTCTCAGCCCTGCAATGTTTATGTTTTAGGTGAATATTTAGAATAATTACAATGTACCCGATGACAGTTTTAAGGCCTTGGGCAACCATTGGCATTATCCTTGTTTAGTCTCGTCTAAGATGAGCCAAGAAAAGAGATCGTTTAAAAAAAGATGTTTAAATGTATACGAAATGTTAATTCATGGTAGGAAAGAAACCCAGATTGTAGGGCTTTTATCAGAAAGCTTTTCAGAGATCAATAAGTGAGAGGTGTATTGGGGAGGTCTTGTGATCCTGAAGTTGGAAGAATGTTCTAGGGACAACAATAACACGATAAGCTTTTGAGGCCAACTGCAGCTAAATTCTGAGTATCTTCAGCAGTCCTCATTTTTGTCTGCTTTTGAAACAACTCCGTGTAGTTTTATCTTTAATCTGTAATTTAACTTGCTTCAGGGTAAACATCTTAGGGGAAAATGTGCTTTTTTTCAAAACATGTTTCTACTAAGGAAGGGATTTGCTTTTGCAACTTAACGAAATGAGATAGTATATCCTGTTCTTTAAACCTGGAAGTTGGAAGTCTGACTGGACTGATTTGTGCAGGATTTGAATATGTAAAATGTTTCTTCATACTGGATTTACTTCTGGGAGAAGAGAACTCTCCATAAGCCAGTTACAATGCTATTTTCTCAGTTGTAAATACTCATAAAAGCCTTCAGAGCTGAATTTGGTTTACAATAATAAGAATTTTAATGGCCTCAAATATTACTGTAAGTATATTCTAAATTACCTCTAGCTGGAATATATTAACAGAGTACATGCTTATCTACTTAAAATAATATTGTAAGTAGAAATTACATACATATTTCTTACACTGCATTGAGGAAGTAACTAAAATGTAATTATACAAGAAATATGCACCTCTTTGAAATCTTACCATGTGTTTCTGCCTTTAGAATCTAGTATACTTGGGGGTGGTAGTAAATATAGCAGACTCAAATAAAATTTTTTAAGGTAACCTAAGGCCATCTTAGAAATACATTGACGTCAGTTTTGTGCCCGAAAGCTGCAATAGAGCAATACCACTTTTCTACACCAATTTATTTTATTTTCTCGTATTTTGCTATGTTGTGTAAGATGTGGGGCTGGAGAAATCTAGTTAACACAAGAAATTATACATTTATCATCAAAAACTTACTAAATAGTGAGACAAAATATCATTTGAGAATATTTCTTGATGATATTGAGTGCACTTTTTATTCTGTTATTTCATAATGCTAGTTTATGGATACAATTATTAAAGGGATTGTAAATGGGTGCAAAATTTAAGAGGAACATTCCAATTTGTATTTATAAAATATCAAATCATGCACAATTTTTAACATGAAATTTTTTATAAGTAATAAATTAACCAGTACATCTTCAGAAACCTGTAATGCTTTGGGATAATTCCAAGAAGATGTTAGATTTCACTAAAAACAAAATTAAATTAAATTAAAAAAAAGGAGTTTATGAAATTCAGTAAGCTTTGGGATCTTTCAGCTTGGGACGAAAATTTAAACTTGCATTTACATGCTAGCTCTGAAGTCCATCTTGGTGGCAGCTCTTGAGTCTGATAGGAATTAGAGCTCCTGGATTAAAAAAAAAACCTATTCAAAGTAGCAGCACAGTTAATGAAGAGCAAGTCGCATCTCTTTAAGGTGACACTGACACTCATGCAGACACTGAAATATGCTTTGTGAGCTTAGGTCACTATGAGGTCAGCCGCAGGGATAGAGGGGTGCGCATTGACTCACAGTGCGAGATGTAGGAGGAGCTGAAGGACTTGTGAGGGACACCATCTCCTGGATAGCTAGTCTGAGCTTTAAACGATGCAGAGGGTTGCTGATTCCAATCTCCCTTTGGATTTCCGTGTCCGACAGAGCCGACATGATGGCTCCGCTTTTCACATTGGCTCTGCAGGCTGCCACGTACCAAGCAGGCATTCCCAACCAGAGCTGTTGGGTTGGAAAAAAAAATATAGAGGTTAGAATAATCTTAGTGATTATCTGCCATGGTTGAATCTTCATTACAACTTGACGGGATTTTAGGCTCTCCTGTGAAGCATACATCTGGGCATGTCTGTGAAGAAATTTCCAGAAAGGTGTAACTAAGCAAAACAACCAGTTTGTAGGTAGAACAACCAGTAAGTGGCAGTTTCAGAATAATAAAGACCCACAAGCAAGCTGAACATTAGCATTGTCTTCCTGATTGATGGTGCACTGGACCAGCAGCTTTACAATCCTTCTGCCATACTTGCGTCCCTTCTAGCCTTCCTGCCTTCCTTTCTATAAATGACTGCATATTCAAAATGGGAGCCCAAAGAAATCCTTCCTTCTTTCAGTTGCTTTTATTCGTTTTTTTTTTCACACCAACAGGAAAGCTAACTAATATATCATTTTAGTGTCTTTTTAGGTCCTCTAGATAGTCGAGATTTATTTTGCACATATAAATCTGTCGTTTACAACTCCATGAGATAAATGTTACCAATATTGGCTAGAGAGATAGATATATAAAGATGTTGAGTATATGTTCCAAACAACAGTTAGTAATTAAATTGAGATTGAGATATTATGGTTTTAGAGCTACACTGGTATCAATTATTAGGGATAGGTAGCAAATTTCTTCTTGTGTAAAATGACAAGAACTGATCCATAAGTTCCAATGAGTAAGTGGCTTAAATGGTCTTTATTTAAATAGTATATTATAATTCTCCTTTTGAATTCTGAACAAAGAGATAGTTTATCTCTTATAGATTGAGACAGGTCCACCATTGCTAGCCTTGTGATTTTCAACAAAGCATGAACCTTAGCCAAACCAAATTTTCCACTCAAGAACTTACATTTGAACCACAAAACTAGTGATATAATACATCCTTGCTTGGAATAACTTGTTATTCAAAAGTAGATAATTGATACAGACATGTTTCTTTCTATGTATCCTACAACATAATGTCTATAATGGGAAAGAGACAAGAAACAGAATATCAAATCTGAATCAGTGTGGCTTGGGTTGTGGCTAAAATCAAACACACGATATAAAGATATAGTAGTTATTGTATGGTTCATGCTGAGTTCCAGAAAGGGAAGAACATTAAGATTAGGCTTATATTGATGAGGACACTAGAGGTTACCGATGATTGGCCGTCTCTCTTGGTGCATAAACTAAAACTCTTTAAGATAACTCCGCATCTACATACCTTCACTCACCCCTAATGATTTCCTAGCCACCATCTAAGATGTTTGAATTTCCACTCTGGTTAACATTACACAAATGTTGCCAATCCATTGTTACAAGCGTCGTCTGTGATTAGACACTGAAGAGTTTTTGAGGTGGATAAATGATGTGGGAAGGAGCAGACTGCCTCCCACACTGGATTCTTTACAGGCTTTGCACACCCGGAGGAGGAAAGGAGGTAAAAGTTAAGGGTTCCCATTCATGGTCTCAGCATGCTTGTTCATCTTGTTTATTCCATTTTGTGATTTGAGTCACATTAGGAAATACATGAGGAGCAATTTCAGCATCCAAGATATGTTTGATTAGCTCTGGCTTCACTGGCTGTCATTTCCCAGGACTTTAGTGTTAGTAAATCTGTTTTTTGTTTTTGTTTTTGTTTTTTTAATCTGAAGGATTTCTTCATCCTTTGTCAAAATAGCAACCAACTCTCTGTCAAACCATAGCTCATTCTATTGGAATTTGAATGACATCGGAACAAAGAATCCCTGTCATTGTTGAGATGTGATTTTTTTAAACCTTTCCTCTAGTACTCAAAGGGTTATTTTTTGACATAGTAATTTAAAAGACAGGTTTGAAGAGGTAACTTCAGTAATTAATTACTTTGAAAGAATATAACAAAAGCAAAACACAGGCTGATTTCAGTCAGTCCAAAAAAGGAAACTAACCCAAAAAGCATGCTTTTATATCTACCTGTCTAAGTGAATATTTTTAAAGCAAAATAAGCTTTAATTTTTTTTCTTCACCTGATATTTACTTGAATCTGAATATGATATAAAGATAAAGTTAAGTTACTTTATAAACCTTAATTGTTTCAATGTATATTACTGTCTTGGGCAGGCAAGAAAATCCTCAATACTTTCCCCTGACATCAACTATCCTAGGGGCTGCAACTGGATCATGTAGGAGAAGTGAAAGCAAAGGTCAGTCAGTGCTACTGGTTTGTAACATGGAGCCAACCTGGGGTCAAATATGCCTTTCCATCACTGTCAGAGTATTTTCCTTCATCCTGTCAAATATTACTTTATTTTCTACAGCATTGTATTGTAGAGGAAACACTGAATGCTGTTCTTGTTATATCTAACTAAATTTAATCAATTGATTAATCAATCAACTTAATAATCATAAAGTAACCTGAATTCTTATGTGATTTAGACAAAGGAGGAAACATAGGTCTCAGCCTTTTGTTTATTCACAACAGTTGAAACCGAACCAGTCCATAGCCATTTTAGGAAATTAATTATTCACAAAGGAAGAAAATTTCAGACAGCTCATCAGCATTTACTTCAGTGAGTAAAAAATTTGTTTTTAATTATTTTTTCTTTCTTATTGATGAGGGCTGATGGACAGGAGATGATAGTTCCTCAAAACCTCCAAAGCATGGCAGTAATTATTTATCCTCCTATGAATAAGGACAGAACATGAAGAGGACAGGATGTGAGGACACTTCTGGTTACACAATTGCATGTTCTGTTCTGTCCCACTGCAAGAAAGAATCTGTGCTATCTCCATCATCATAAGTCCATAGACATGTATGTATGTGTTTCCTTTATGAGAACTGATATGATACAGGGAAGCTTTGATTTCAGAAATCGGGCTTTATCTGCCTCCAAATAATCAAATTAGCAATGATTGACTGAAGCCAAGTCTTTGGCTTGCTTTGCTTACCTCCAGCCAAGCGACCACAGTGGGTCCGTCCCACTGGGCAAAAGGTAATCCTTTTCTACGAGCTTCTTCAAGGAGTTCATGCCTGAAGTACAGCAAAGAGCACTTGTTAGGTAATATGGAAGGAGATGCTTGTGGTTGATTTTAAACCACCAGTAAGCCCTTGAAAGTGTTTAATGAGGGGTGACACAGAATGACAGGATTCCTTCTTCCTTTGAGACACATATGGAAATCCCCCTTTGATTTCATTGAGTGAAACATTAATATTTAAAAATAATTTTCTCCAACATTTATTCGCCAAGATTTGAACACTTGTTAATCAACTAAGTTGAGCTGCATTATCAGCCAATATTGCTTCCATTTAGCAAGAGAACAGCTCACATATTCATATGCAATTATACATTCTGTGATCTAAATCTGACTTTTGAATATGCCCTTCTCCAACACCTTTACTCTCTTAATGACAGGGGCAAAGCTTGTATGTTAAAACACAAGACACATTTGGTGTTTTTAGACCTGTTGTCATGATGTTTACTTTGAACATGAACAACATTCTATTTTAGAAGTTAGTCCCTGGCCTTGATTGTTTTTAAGATCTGAACAAAAAAACTAATGAATTTGATCCTTTGACTATACAAAACCCTTGCCTCAAACTTTTGCTGATACATGTTTGAAATACAGCATACACTGTTTTCCATGGAATGTTTATTAAGATAAAAGTGAATAGTGGTGAAGGGTACACCAAGCCAAGAAGAGAAGCTGGGGAGGTCTGAGGTTTGTGGCAATCAGGAGATAAAGCATGTTCTTAAGCCAAGAACAAACACTGTAAAGCAAAGACCCTGCCATCTACTGTTTATAGTTAAAGTCTTATAACTGACCTGACTATTCTGAAATCTTACAAGCTTCTGAACTCCCACACACATGCTCCTGTAGCTGTTCTATTGCTTTATCCACTCTCCAATCTTTTGACTTCTCAAAGACAGCTGAAAACCATGTCACATTTGAAGACTACACCAATATCAGTTGGTTTCCTTCACTAGGAAACAGTGTAAAGTGCATAATTCAACAGATTTTAATTCATAATCACTATTATTTATTAATGAAAAGCTAAGACATTAGTAAAAATAATGCTTTTCTGATAGCAGCACATCATATGTAGGGCTACACACATATGTATGACTGCATTACCTCCTAAGAGTTTAGAATTGACATCAGTTAAGTTCCAAACCCAGGACAAACAGTTGAGGTGCTTATTTAAAATATCAAAGCTGGACCTGGCCACTAGGTTCTCCAGGTATCCCTCAGTCCCTACCTGTTACTGGGTGTGGATCATGGCATAACCACACCCTCTACCCTGAACTCTCCAGCCCAGGGACTGGGCTGCCCTCCCCCCAGATGTTATTCCCTATATAATCTAGACATTTTGGTCACTCATGCACTTCTTGTACCTTTGGCCTCCTGGCTGCTGCATCTGGTTTTCCTCTCTCCCTTCTTCCCCTCCCCCTCTCCCACATGGCTCAGCTCAGCCTTGGTCATGTCCACTCTGGACTCTCCCAGATATCCGTGCCCCTGACTATGTTGTCTCATATGTTTACAATAAACTTTCTCCTCCTCCAATCCCAGGCGCAATCTTGTCTTTTCCTTTCCTTCTTTCTTTTTTTTTTCATTCAAAATTCATGTTCAAAATAATAATTTATTACTGAAATAGTGGAATCAAATTGTATGCAATCTCAAACTATTATATATATCCATTCAGGGATATAGTGAGAAATATATTTCTGTACCTCTGTATGCATAATCTTATATGCAAACAATAAAAGCGTAGTATAATAATTGCTTTATTCCTAATGTATGTCTTTCATGCTAACAAATATATCATGGATGTCATATACGAACTCCCAAACAAAGCATGTGGTTATTACCCATTACAAATAAATTACTTACTTAGTATGGAAGATTCATATATTAAAATATGTAAGAGAATGCCTTTGGATACAAGAGGTTTTGTATTTTTCAATAGACAGTATAAAAAAAATACATGACAACCTAGTAAGGGGCAAAGAAAAAACTGAAGTTATAGTAACTTAAAAGACCTAAGTTAACTGCTGTTTGAATTGAGGAGACAGTAAAGGTACGTTCTGCACATAAACTGTTCAGCAGCTGGGAATGTGTACAGGGACACAGAGGCTTCAAATTCACAGTGGAAAGCACAAACATTCTCAGGTGTAAGTCTCTATCTCATCACCCCGTTCCCTTGGGCTTCCCAGTGACAATCCACTGAAAGTCTGTCTCCAGAAACTTAGTCTCACCCTGACAGATGTATTTATAGAAGTGGGACAAGGTATCAAATGTCCAACAATTCTGTATTGTGCACATGCCCCCAACCTGAGCCTTATGCTCAGTGACTTAGGTAGACACCTGAATGTGGTTTTCAGAAGATCCCATGTTAGACACTGCAAATGCATGAAACTGTCCAAATGCATTTGACACACAAACAGACGCTTCCACAAATGGATGCGTATCCTGATCCTAACAGTTTTGCTTAATCATCACTGTTTTGCTTGCTGACAATGGAGAGGATGGTGACGGTTTTGTAGATGTTGAGGTGGCTTTGAATAGCAAACAGGAAGTGTACCAGGAAATCATGCTAAGAACACATGCAGGGATCGACTTACTATGGAGTGTGTGTGAGAAAATTTAGAGGAGTCCTCAAGAGGACTGAATTATCATAGTTGTGACATCCTATTCAGTATTGAGAGGTGTACAGGTACTCCGTCTGAGTGACATTGCGTGGGCAGAAACACACATGTGTTTCTAAACATCTTTATTCATTTAGTAAGTGAGAAAGAAATGACAACAGCCTGAAAAGATCCTGTTACTTTAGGAAGTAAAAAATATGAGTGATAGAAAACATTTTTAAAGATTAGAATGCTTCACTCCTCACCGATTCCCTAATAAAGAACTAATTGGAACCTGAAATGGGGGGAATCCTGTTAAAACTTGCATTTGACCATGCATCACTTCTCTCCCATCACATGGCCTGTACAGCTACGTAGATCTAATTCTCTGACTTCATTCTTACTCCATTCTCACACTTCACCTAGTAATATTCCATTCCATCTCTTGCCTTCTCTTTTCCAGTCTCCTTAGGCCGTTTCTAAGCCCACTGTTTTCTGTAGCTCTCCTTCACAGCATTGAACTCCGTGTTCTCCATACAGGTTATAAAGTCAAGAGGACCAGTATTTCCACACACTCTGTTGTTTATGGATACATTTTATATTGACAAAAAGCCATTCATAGAAAAATATGCTCTTAAAACAGTTGTGAATGTTATATGTGTATATACACTGTGTGTGTGTGTGTGTGTGTGTGTGTGTGTGTGTGTGTGTGTGTGTGTGATTATGCATATGCATGCATGTGCACTCTTGTTTACATGAGTGTTTTGGTGCTGGGCATAAAACTCAGGTCCTTGTGTTGCTACACAAGTGCTCTTACTCAGTCATATCTGCAGCCCTCCCCCTATGTGTTTAGTTTATTTTTGTTTTGTCTTACCAAGTGTTGTTTTGTTTTGTTTTATTTTGAGAGAGAGAGAGAGAGAGAGAGAGAGAGAGAGAGAGAGAGAGAGAGTCACACTCTGTAGACCAGGCTGGTCTATAACTAACTCACTCTGAAATTCAGGCTAGCCTCAGATTGTGGCAGTCCCCCTGGCTCTACCTTGCAAGAGCTCAGATTGTCGGAATGAGCTGCCGAACCAACGGAAGCAATTTTTTTTTCTTATTTTACTACATATCTATTTTTACGGTCTTATTGTTTTGTTTTATTTTGTTGGAAATAGGGTTTTCCTGTGTAACCATGACTACTTGGAATTTGCTATGGAGTCTAGGCTAGCCTTTAATTTGTAGCAATTCTCTGGTTTCCACCTCTACAATAAAAGGAGTAAAAGTCTATGCCAGCATGCCTCACTGCAAATGTTGAACTGTGTGCCAGACACCATTTGATTTAGTGAGTCTTCAGTCAATTGTGTTCTATGTTTTAATTTTACTTATTTATTTTTTATAGTACAAGGACCACGTTTAAACTTCTATGTCCGAAATAGTGCAAAAATGTATTGTGTCTCGTCTCACTTTGACTTCTTTTCCCCCTCATAATACTATTGGTTCTAATTGATTCCAAGAACTTGATTTAGTTTAGGATCACTGCAGAAAACCTAGTTATGATGCTATCCAGTGTGCTGAGTAGTTCTATTCTCTTTATGAATAGAAATAATGACATGATTGTGTGGGAACTTATGTAGCAATCTGGTCCCTAAGAACGTTCTGGTTTTACTTAAATCACAACTCTCATAACATAATAGCTTCAGTAAGATAACTCAAAGAACTGGACAAAGGAACCTGATTCGGCCACTGACATCGGATTGCTAGGGTTGAATCCCAAGCAATAACCTTAATGCCATGAATTTGAGACCGTAGAGGTGACTGGCTGAGTCTATGTGTGGACTTATGCTACATGAGAGTAATGCCCGACTTCCTTAATCATAAGCCAAGGGAAGAATCAGTTATGTGCAAACAAATACGTGGACATGGAGACTTGTGAGGAAATCAATGTTGCAAAGGTAACATGCGTAGTATTGTAATAGAAATGAATGAATTTAATATATGATGATCTGTTGGCAAATATTATTATTATTATTAATTTTGTTTCTTGAGAAAGGGTATTGTGTGTAGCCCTGGCTGTCCTTTAACTGTCTCTGTAGAGCAGACTGGCCTTGAACTCAGAGATTCACCTTCCTCTGCCTCCCACATGCTAAGATTAAAGGCATGTGCCACCACCCTCTGAGAAATTTTCAGTGACAGAAAAATAGTGACCTGCGATGTTAATAAAGACAGAGACAAATCAGTTACAAAAAAAAAAAAACAGTGTTAGTATATGCATGTCTTTAAAACGAAAAAAAAAAGCACTTGAGAGTCAGAAAGAGGAAGTTAATGAATTTATGAGCCCAAGTCACATGAGACTGGCTCAATAAATCAGAGGCTCTGGTTACAATTCAGTGGTAGAGCACTTGCCTTGCATTTGCAAGGCCTTGGT